TATTATATTCATTTTTCTTGAGATTCCAGTACACCTTAGTGACTATGCCAGCCTCATAGAAGATGTTCATATATCATCACCATCATTATTATATCAACCAATACCTGTATATTGCTAAACATGAGCCTCTCCTACAAGGGAATGGTGGCAATCGAGGCAGGTTGACACACACACAGTGAGGCTTCTAATGTTTTATTCAATTCAATTCAATTTATTGCATTCTACAATATTATTAGGAATATTTTAATGTAAAATGAAAGAATGTTTGTGTATAAAATACATCAAATCAATTTCTAAGGGATACCTTTACCTTTTACCCACAGACATTACTATTGAGGAAAGATAGACATACTTACGATGGTTTATTATCATATATTATTGATCTCCCATCATTAGAAAAATATGTCTTTTCAGAATATCCAATATTATCATAGTGGTTACTGCTAACATTGAACAGTACAGTTGTATTTACATTATCAAATGTATAAACATGACTGCATAGCTGTAATAGATAAAAATTTTAAGTTAGCTATTAAACAAAATCAAGCACTCCAGCAGAAAACTAATATTTTTTGCAGTGATACAATATACTACAAAAAAGATGTTTATACATATACATATATAAAGAGAGAAAGAGAAAGATGCATAATATACTAGGTAAAAATCAAATTCACTACTCACACACATACACACATGCTTCACACCACCACATAATATAATAAATAATCTGTACATTCACAAAATATTATTGTGTATTTTATCATATTCTTGTATTTTACTCCTTATCATGGTGGCAGTTAGTGATATATTATTGATGTTTATTTCTGAAAAGAGTTGCCTGGTGATCTAAGACACTGGCAGCTCGCTGCCCAATTTAGGTGCCAGTCCCCACAACTATGTTTAGTTTCATGTTATTATTGTCAATTGAATTGTAATACAGTTGTTTTGGAATTATAAAAATTATTATTATAAAGGTTGAGCCCTATAGTTATAGTCATCACATGACATGGAAAATTGTAAAATCTTTACATTTCTTTCAAATTTCATTAACAATCCCCAGGATGATTATTTCAGAAATAAATTATATCACACAGAAGACAGACAAAATAATAACATGTCCTGTAATTTCATTCATTATACTAAGATATAGTTTAATTTACAACATTTAAACATAAGTGATCATGACACAGCAAGTACAGATGTATTGAGGAAGTCTAGACAATAAAACTAACATTGACAAAACAAATATAAAAAAAAAACCTGATACTGGATGTATTTATATAATGAGTAGGCAATTATAAAACGTTTAGTCTCAGTCACTATTAAAAAATAAAAACAAAATGTAAATTACCTACCGCAAGGGGTTCAGTGCAACGATTCGTGACATTCACTGTTGCATTTATTGGAAACTTGAGATCTGTACACGGATGAAAGTAATATGTGATAAGTCTGTACTGTAAGCCTTTTTTCATCTCTTGGTAAGTCGCCGCTGAATAAAACGTTGTAGTATTTGAAGGCGTAAGATCTATTCCAGTGCCATTAGGAAAAACGCAACTACAGGGACTCTTCTTGACACACACATCTTCACCACTAACTGATGATGTCGAAAAAGCAAGAAAAACAATTATAATACTTAAATTGCATAAACACATTTTGTTACAGATTCTATCCATCTTTTTGTTGTATTTCTTTTTTGCGTGTTGATTTGGTGGTGAATTAAAAAATTTTTTAATGATATCAAAGATGATCAGTCGTATTTTCGTTTCGTAGCAGTCAGTTTCAGTTACGTCAAGTGTCAATCAGTGCAGTCAGTCAAATCAAAAAAGTCATTCCACACGGATCACATCAGCAAATTTAGATCGAATGACAACTGACAATCATAGCTGTGTGTGTCAAACCCTAAGAAAAAGCAATAATTTGACAAGGGTTGAACTGTTAAAACAGCTTGTCAAAACTTTATTTTAATAGATTTTCAATATTAAAAATATAAACAAATATAATACTTAGGTACTAGGTGGCCAGCATCTAAATAGATAGTGTTTAATAAATTATTTACTATATAAAAACCTGCTATATGGCTGACAAGAAAAAGAAAATGTTCCCATCCAAAGTAAGGAATATTTAATTATTAATTAAATTATATAATTATCTATTGTTCAAGTGCAATAAACAATATATAATCTTAACCATATCGTTAACGATGTATCACAAATAACTTTTTTTTCATCAGGAGTCTACAATACCAAGGAGGCCTGTTATTTTGAAATCCGATCGAGAGGTGCCCAAGGAACAATACAAAGATAAACCAGAGAAAGAAAAACAGCCGACTATTATTTTGAAAACGAGAGAACAAAGCGCCGCCAAAGAAGACCGTCCTGTGAGCCCAAAAAATCAAGTAACACCAACCTCCGATGAGCCCCATATTAGTAAGATCGTTCAAAATGAGCATAAAGATAAAAAACATGCAGGTGAGTAATTAATTTAACCATATTATTTAACAACATCTGCTTACCCAAGAATTACACAAAATTAAGCAAAATGGCTCTCACTGAACACTGCACAACAAATACATGGCCCAACTAGGATTATACCCAAAAAGTGTTTGCAGATTTTGTCACAATGAGAAAGAAATGTTAGACTTTGGAGGTGTTTTAAAAGGGGAGGGATGGGCAGCAGCGTGCCTATCCCTCCCCCTCCCTTAATCGTCTCTTATGGCACCATGCAGTTTTCAAAGTTGTCTCTCTGAAGGTCTTACCTCAAATCTGGTATATATTTCATCTTGATATATCATCTAAATGCGGTAGTTAATTAATATCCCTCTTTCTGAAATCCATGCATACAAAGTAACAGGCAAAAAGCTAGCTCAAAAATAAACATTTACAACATTTTAAAATTATTTATCAGAAAGCCAAGTACATATAAGTATATTTAACAATTTAAAATAGGCAATATAAATCAAAAATTTAAAATTTCAAATAACTGCTTTATGGCAGTATTACAAATGAGACAAAGGCACCCCAAGCAGATGACTTTTGTACAAACTTTTTTTTATACAACTTAGAATGGCAAACAAGCTGACGGTCCACTTGATGGAAAGTGGTAACCGTCGCCTATAGACATGAGCAGTACTATGGACATAACAGAGTATACTGTTTCACCCATGATACCCCCCATGCGTTGCCATTCCTGAGGACTCGGGTGTTATTCCTCTGTACCCAGTAAATTAACGCCATATCCCACCCTTCAAACCGAAACACAGCCATGCAAACACAACTGCTTCACGGTTGAAACACAAATGGACAGAGGTATCCAAGCAATCGACTTTTGTACAAAGTCTCCCTCTGGTAAATCCCTCTTTCTTTAATAATATAATCATTACCTAATACATTACTGCTACTATTTCTAGAACACAAGATAAGTCCACCATTAAAACAGATGACGGAAGCTATAAAATTACTGGATGAAAATATGGAATTCAACAATGCAGCTTTGGAATTTCTACACGACTCCAGCACTAATTATCTTGTTGTTGGAATCATAGGTTAGATGCATTCATTCTTATTGTATTTTTAAATGCACTTATTTCACAGACAATTCTAAAATTTGATCTAAAATTCAAAAATTTGATAAAATGAATATAAAACAAGAAAATTATTAACATGAGATTGAATTTGTTTATTTCTTTATAACGCTTTAAGGGTTTAACTAATCACTATATAATTTTATATTAATTTATTTATTTAAGGAACACCAACAGCATATTGCATTATAACATATAGGTATAACAAACATTAAATATAATACAATATTAATGCACACGCCTATTATAGGTATTCACAGCATTTACTTTAACATAGTTATACAGTGCGTGAAAATGAAGTAAATAATAAAAACAAACATGTAACCTAAATTGTGAGCGATATCAGATACAGAGAGCAATATATATGTATTCTATAGGATGGGAAAAAATATAGGCTTTTATCGCAGCGATAAACATATCCCAGTCACGCGGGCGAAGTCACAGTTAAAAATAAATATAATGTAATTGTAATTACGTATCAATTGTAATAAATTATGTGTGTGTTAAATAGTATAACTAATAAGGGGAAATATAATGTAGAATTATGTAATTTTTTCATATTATTAATAATTTGCACGCCGACATAGAGGCAGAATGTATATGGGAAATGTAAACCTCTTTTATCGAAAACTACCTACATTCTAGCAAAATAAATTCATTTCATTTCATTTTATTTCAATTTAATTTTGTCTAGTTGTTTTGTTTGAAAATTTTCACAATATTGTACACCACTCTACTGCTGACATTATCGCTCCTTTCCACTTTGGGTGTTGCTGTAAGAGAACTCTTTTAGAGTTAAGCTCTCCATTGTACATAAAATTACTTGTCATATTTTTATGTATAATTGGTGTGTACAATAAAGTATTAAATAAATAAATAAAAACTAATAATGTTACAAATGTGAAAGGAATTTATTTATTACCTCTTAGTGCCTTGACAGCTTAACTAATCACTATGAGATTTAGTGTAAAGGGATCGTTAGTAATGCGGATTATCAGTCCCAACTAACAATATACCCTAACAAGTTGACCTCCCCGTGGTCCCCCTTGGAAACCATCATACTGAATTCCAACTGTATTCATCACGATGGGCTAACTGACCTACCTTTTCATCCTCACCTTTCATCCCTCACTGGTGCCCCGCTGGTGTATACCGTTAGAGCAGGCGGGATTACCATTCTATTATCATTCATTAAAAAAACCCCTCTTTGAGAATCTCAGGTAAATGCTACTCTTAAATATTGCATCCGACACATTTCAGGCACGCAAGGCGTAGGCAAGTCAATGATATTGAATCTAATAGCGCAGAGCACGCATTCTCAAAGTGCGTTCATACAGAAGTTGCACGCACTGGCCGCGTCCTCTCACGACACCTACCAAAGTAATATCGCAGCGTTGGAAGGCCAAATGAGAGATTTAGACCTCGCCGGTGGACAAGATGATGCACAGAGGAGTGATGATTGCTTCAAATTCAAAATACAAGATATTGAGCACATCGAAAGAGGTGTTCATTGCACTAAAGGTACTTTTTTTCTATATTTGTTTATTTAAAATTTAATTTGAATTTAATTTCCCTGGTATTTGGGTTCTATTTTCCATGTCAATAAAATGATTGACGGACGTATGTTGACCAAATAGGCAACGTGCTGAAGAAGGGCCAATTTAAAAGTATCCGTAACCGGCGAGCGTGTATGAAAAGATTGATGAATGTGGAAGAAGCGAAAGAGGTTTGTTTGAATCGAAGCATTTGGCTTTCCATTTTTTCAGCCTACCCTATTGGAAGACAGGCGTAACAGATATGTATGTATGTATGAATAAAATGATTTAGTTGCAAAAAGGGTGAGTATATTTAAATTCCTCTTCAGACATTATTTATAGTAAAATTACTCATATCTCACGATATTTAAGTGTTTTCTTTTATTTTCTCTTTTTTTATACAACGAAGGTGACAATCAAGCATACAGTCCGTCTGATGGTATGACAATAAATACAATACAATACTCAATAAGTACATCTATATCAATTCAAAATTTTATTCCACAAAAAAAATACCAACTTTAATTATGGCAACTTAGACTTTGTACAAAAGTCGATTGCTTGGGTACCTCTGCCCATTCGTGTTTCAACCGTGAAGCAATTGTTTGCATGGCTGTGTTTCGGTTTGAAGGGTAAATTTACTGGGTACAGAGGAATAACACCTGAGTCCTCAGGAATGGCAACGCATGGGGGGTATCATGGGCAAAACAGTATACTCTGTTACGTCCATGGTACTGCTCATGTTTATAGGTGTCAGTTAACACTTTACATCAGGTGGGCCGTCAGCTTGTTTGACATTCTATGATGTATAAAAAAAAATTAGTTTTGATTAAAAAAAAAACAAAACTACTTAACCAAATTTGAAAAAATTTCTTTGACACCAGTCTTTTAGACTAAAAGTATGTCCTTTCAGATAGAAAAAGTATTTTCCAAATTGATTTATAAATAACGAAGTTATGGAGTAACGAACATAAAAAAATACAACCTACTTGAAGATGTCCTTTTATGAAATCGGTTTAAAATAAACATAATCTTTACTATTTCAGGCATAGATATGTACATAACAAATGACCGTGTAATACTCCTCGACTGCCAAGCTCTATGGTCGCCATCGCTCATAGAGGAGAACACAAATCCTGTTACGGCTAGGAGTGCCAATGTGGTGATAGTTGATTGCCTCCAAATTGCGTCCTACCTGATGGCTATTTGCCACGTATTGATCGCTGTTCAGGACTGGTTCACCGACTATAATTTTATAAGGTAAAGCATTCACAATACAAGTAAAAAACAACATAAATGTTAATTTATAGGGTATGTAAAGGGGGGGAAAGGGATTGTTAATAATGGAGTTTGACAGCCCTATTGCTAGCAATATGCCTTATTAGGTGGACCACCACGTGGTTCCCCCTGGAAGCCATCGTGAACAATTCTTGTTGAATTTGTCACGATGGGCTAACTGACCTACTTCATCCTCACCTATCATCCTTCACTGGTGCCCCGCCGTTGTATACCGATAGCGTGGGTAGTAGCGGGGTTACCATTCCATTATCATCCATTAAAAAAAACCTAATGTAAAGTGGTAACAGTCACCTATAGACATGTACAGCACCATGGGCACACAGTATACTCTGTGACACCTATTTTACCATGCGTAAGGAGATGAGAAGGGATTGGTAATAATGGGGATTAGTATCCCCATTGCTAGCAATACGCCTTGTCAGGTCGACCTCCTCGCGGTTCTCCCTGAAAACTATCGTGTTCAATTCCAATTGAATTTGTCATGATAAACTAACTGACTTGCCTTTTCAATCTCACCTATGATCCCTCACTGATGCACCGCCAGTGTTTACCGTTAGTACAGGCGGGCTTACCATTCCATGATTATCCATTTAAAAAAAGTAGAATTGATCACATTTTTACAAGAGAGAGACTTTTGTACAAAGTCTCTCTCTGGTAAAAATGTGATCAATTCTACTCCGAGACATTGTTACAGATACATCCAAGCAGCTGAAATGCTAAAACCTTCCCTCTCGGCTTCCAACACTGTGACCAGCCAGGAAGGTGCAGAGTCCACCGGCGGAGGTGAGAGCCACCCACACTTACTGTTGCTCCATAATCGGTGTCAACTGGAGGATTTCACCATTGAAGCTGTGAAGACGATGCAGGATGTTTACAGGTAAACCTCTGTGGTAATAAAGATTATAAGTTTCATTTCTGAACTAAACTGACTTCAAAAAGATAGAGCTTCTCAATTTAGATGTATTATTATTTTTTTTTATTATCTCATAACTCTGTCAGTTATTTAATTTTACAAGAGAAGGATTTTGTACAAAAGTCGATTGTTCGGGTACCTCTGTCCCATTCGTGTTTCTACCGTGAAGCAGTTGTGTTTGCATGGTTGTGTTTCGGTTTGAAGGGTGGGATATGGCGTGAATTTACAGGGTACAGAGGAATAACACCTGAATCCTCAGGAATGGCAACGCATGGGTATCATGGGCGAAACAGTATACTCTGTTATGTCCATGGTACTGCTCAAATCTATAGGCGATGCAAACCACTTTCCATCAGGTGAGCCGTCAGACTTGTTTGCCATTCTAAGCTGTAAAAAAAAAACCCACTTCAATTGTGGCAACACCAGTTACTTTCATTTAAAAACTATATGATTGTACCTATTTTGATTGATTTGAAGTGGGTTTTTTTTTATACAGCTTAGAATGGCAAACAAGCTGACGGCTCACCTGATGGAAAGTGGTAGCCGTCGCCTATAGACATGAGTAGTACCATGGACATAACAGAGTATACTTCTACGCCCATGATACCCCCCATGCGTTGCCATTCCTGAGGACTCAGGTGTTGTTCCTCTGTACCCTGTAAATTCACGCCATTACCCACCCAAATCGAAACAGCCATGCAAACGACTTTTGTACAAAGTCTCCCTCTGGTTTTTATTTGTGGAACACCATCTTAAATTATATAACTTTACTGCTGGATTCGGTATATGTTTGTCTGATTAGAATTATTTCAGATTTAACCTACATAATTTTTTAGTGTTTAGTAATATAAAAATTTTCACTCATATCCCCTCTTATTCCAGAAAGGCGTTCCAAAAATCCAATTTACAATTAAACTCAGGCATGTATATGTACAGTGACACAAACAAGAACGGTCTAAATGTTGACAACGTGTGCAAGGGATACAGTGTGGATGCTTGCGGCACACCGATCAATCTGTTTTTATTACCGGAGCTCTATGAAGACTACGGTAAGGAATTCATTTCAATCAATACATATACTATCGCGGACTTTTTTTGTTGACTTTTTTAAGTTGTACAATACTGTATGTAGTATATTATTTTGATTTATCTCGTGGGGTTCAGCCAGCATTGCAATGCAATGTAAGCGCCAAAAATGTGTTTATTCACGACATCATATTAGAAACCTCTAAATTTATCAGTGTTTCTCTACTATATTATGCATGTATTATACATATAAACCTTCCTCTTGAATCACTCTATCTATTAAAAAAACCGCATCAAAATCCGTTGCGTAGTTTTAAAGATCTAAGCATACATAGGGACGGACAGACAGCGATAGCGACTTTGTTTTATACTATTTAGTAATTAGTGATTGGCATGTACAATAATGTATTAAATAAAAATAAATAACTTATTAACATGTAAGAAAGAGATTTCCAGTAATGGGGACTAGCAATGAGCATCCATTGCTAGCTATATACCCTCAACATTTCAGCTTTTAACTGTCCACTGCTGAACATAGGTCTCCCCTAAAGGAGTTTTTCCAGTAGTTGCCACGCTTGGCAAGCGGATTGGCAACCACAGCTAGGCTTTGGAGATGTTTTAAGAGGGATACTGCTGCTTATACCTCGCCCTCCTTTAGTCGCCTCTTACGACACTCACGGGAAAGAAAGTCGGATCTTATCTTAAACCTATTTCACCTATTTTTCTCCTAAACCACTCCTATAATATAACAAATAAAATCAAAAAGGAATTCTCAAATCGGTCCAGCTGTTTTTTCAGTTTTAACGACACTAACGAACGTCATTTGCTTTTTATATATAAATTAAATTTTATAATACTAACTGTATCTTACTGCTTTGCCCGCGTGATCCATTAAAATATACTATATAATACTTAGTTAGGCTTGAAAGGTCTTGGGACCGCTTGACAGGACCGAAGGTCAGAGGATCGAAGTTCGGAATTTGGTTGTCTAAATTATTTAAAATAAAAAGGGCAAATTTCTCGTATCAAAATTATGTCCGTCTTTTTTTTTTTTCGATCCTCGTCCTAGTCATTTGTCTGTAGAACGTCTTAGCGGCCAGCGAGAAAACCGGTCAAAGAGGCCGCAACGAAGACATAACCTATCCGTGTAGCAAATTTTGTTCAAATTTATTCAGTAGTTTTTGTGTAAAAGAGTAAAAAGATCGATCCATTATCACAATCTTGCCCATGAAATTAAAAGGATTTGTTTCTTACATTCTGTCTACCCTAATGGGAGACAGGCGTGACAGATATGTATATATGTATGTTTCTTACATTCATTTTAAAAGGTCAATAGCTTATACCTAATACTCAGGAGCGGGAGGAAAGGGATTGTTAGTAATGGAGACTGAGAATCCTATTGCTAGCAATATACCCAACCAAGTCGACCTCCTCGCGGTTCTCCCTGGAAACTATCATGGTTAATTCCTGATGAATTCATCATGATGGGCTAACTGGCCTGTTTTCATTCTCATCTATCACCCTTCACTGGTGCTCCGCCAGCGTATCCCGTTAGCGCAGGCGGGGTTACCATACCATTTTCACACATAAAAAAAAAATACTCAGAAGCGTATTAACCCTGCTCAACTTTTTCTGTTACCATGTAATCGATACAGGAAATGTTTATCGGATAATAAACTAAACTCCACAAATCTAATACCACAGTTTTATCAATATATCTTAATATAATTAGATACACAAAATAAATATCACTCTGAATTGCAATAATATTGCCAATCAGTTTCTAAGGAATTCTATAATTTTTTCATTAGCGTATTTTTTTCATAGGCAGCATGCGTCCTTCTTAAAACATCTCTAAAAGCCTAACTGCGGTTGCCCACCCGCCTGCCAAGCGTGGCAACTATTGGCAAAACTCCCCTTATGAGGAAGGCTTATGTCCAGCAGTGGACAGTTAACGGCTGAAATGATAAAAAAATGGCGTATTTTAGATTATTTTCCAGAGGGGGGGGGGCTTTAAAAAGACATGTATGTTCTTAGTTATTACCCATAATTCAAATAATATATGAAGTAAAATAAGAAATAAGCCTATTTCTTTTATATTGTATAAATTTTTTTTTTATCTTTTTCAGACAACAAAGAAATCTATCGGGGCCATCCACCATTTGAGCAATTAGCGAAACGACTTCGCTGGATGATTTTAGGTGTCAATAGACACCAAATAACAAACGTTGCTAACCTCTCTGAGAGAGGATGGTTCCATTACTGCAATAAGGCATGGGAGACTATAAGAAAATGCACGTTTTTCATGGAATACGAGCGGTTTTTACCTTGAAAACGACTAATCCCGAACGAGGATTATAGATACTGAAGAATAAAGATATGGCGCCGGTGTCAAACACCTGCATCTTATCACGAGAGATAAAGGCGTCTGTATGAAGGACTAGGTTTATTTTATTCAAATTAAAAATTATACATTGATTATTGGACCCAATAAACATTATTATTATGTTTGTGTTTTAATAATGAATATGTATATCGCAATTATAGAATTCACTGGTAAACACTTTCAATGAGTGGCTTACGCCTTTGCTCAGGCGGTTTGTATGCGTGCTGGTAAACACTGGCCAATCTCCAATGCTCAGGGTAGCCACTCGCGTTCGAGTCACGCCAGATGCTGAAGGGTGGTGCGAGAGTAGGTATAGTATATGATTTCTTTGAGTACGGGTGACGCATCTTAGGGATTTTCAGACCCTTCGAGTCCGTTGTACTAGAAACGCTTTGTACAGAATTCGGGTTTCCAGCTTTAAAAGCGAATTTATAGTCTTCTTTCTGCTTCGGCTCCTGATGCAATTTTTCGTGGCAAGGCAAACAGTTCCGATGCTTAGTGTTAATCGAATCGCTCTCCTTCGAACGTTTAGACAGTTGTGATTCGTTCGGCGAACTTTGATGCAATTTTCCTTGCGCTAGAGGAGTTTTTTCATACGATTCTAAACTATTGCGATTTCTATTCATATCGTGATTATTCTTTTTCGTGTCGGCACTCCAAGCGTCTTTAATGGGTTGCAGCTTATCTGGTCTCGAATCACGATTTGATTCCCGACTTGTTTCGCTTGGTGTACCACATCCGTGTATACCATCACACTGAGACTTTTTCACTGAATTGCCAGAACTTTTTCTGCTAGAAGATTTAGAACTTTTATTATTACTTTTATTGTTCTGGTATTTCTCGGCATAGTTATGTTGAGGACAGTGTTGTACCTCACAAGAATCTCTTCTCTTTTCCTTTGCCATATCTTTTTCAAAATATGGAACAGGATGATGCCCGGGATCATCTCCAGCACGATTTTGATGAAAAATTGGCATCGTATGGCCAGCTATTGCCTGTTCTGTTTCTTCTTTAGGAGTATGGACCATTGTAAACACAGCCGGTGCTTTTGAACCATTGGAGCCATCTATATGCTTAGGTGGTCGTGGCTCAGATTTAGGATCATCTGGTCGAAAATCCCAACAAATAGCTAGATCCATGAGCGATAGTGATTTCTTGTTCTGACCGCCTAAATCGGGAGCAGAAGTGGAAGGTCTTTTTTGTTCATGTTTGTCTCCCTCGCTCTTTTTATGATCACAGGTCTTAGGTCTGTGTACTCGCATCTTAGTACAACAAGTAGGACCGGCGGCACCGTACCCTTTCCAGCCTATTGCATAAGGCTTGACAATAATATCCGAATCTCTATGTTCAGCGATTTTAGTTAAGTTTCTGTATCCCAAAGTATCTGGTAGAGGTTGATGCTCTAAATTACCAACATGCATTCTCCTCGCAAACTGAAAGTTTTGCGATACATTTACGTGAGGTAATTTTGGCGTCTCACTCTTTTTAGTATATTTCATGTTCTGATCTCGAACATTTTCCTTCGCATTCTCTGCTACTTTTCGCCAAAATTTATCTGTTTCGTCCTCCTGCGGACCGTGCAGTTGCTCTATTGCATCTTTAACTAACAAATCGTGACTTTCATGCCGTTTATCGGGATCTGTCAGTGCTCCTGGAATATATGGACTGTGGCCATCTTCATCTACCGGTTCTTTTTTTACAATACCTAAAGGATTATCTTCTTTATTAATTTGTAAGTCCTCTTCGTTTACGTCTTTTTCTGTCTGATGCGTTTCGTCTTCATTAACCTCAGATCCCTATTGGCACAGACATGGAAAGATTTTGCAAAAATAATTTTAATTTCATAGTATCGTTATAAAAATAATATTTAAACGAAAATTTCTACTTTGCGTGCAGTTCTAGCCTCCTTGTCTTCGGTGTTTCTATTTTTTGCGCTTGTGTTTGTGGAATGGGCATTGGCGTGGCTGAAATAAATGAATATAAACAAAAGATTAATGTGATAGAACGTAAAATAAAATAGCGTGTTGTTAGCAAATGATACAATAAAAAGAAACCCAATCGATTACAAGTATATAATAAAATGACAGTAGGTAGCAAGCAGTGATTTAAATTGATGGATTTCTGCAAATGATAGATATCACGCAATCGAATCAACTGGCGAAAGGGGTAAGAAAGTTACATTGACAAATCACGTATCGTGTCACTAACCCAAATAACTTTCAAGGACTTTACAACAAAGGCCGGAAGAAGGGAAGTTTACATAGAGCGAAAAGTTCAAACGATACCAAATCTTTTTATATAATGCAAAACTGTTTATACCGGATACAATTATTGATTTGTTTCGAAATAGCTATTTTTGTATATCTATTAATGTAAAGCGACCAGACTAAACATTCTTATATAGAATTTGAAATAACAAAGTGACGATCCACAAGAACGACAGTGATTATTATGTCCATGGCATTCCTGATATGTCACCATTACAGGGAACTAAAGAATTATACCACGGTATCCTATAACTAAGGCGGTATTTAATGTCTTCCAAACCAATATTAAGTAAACAATGTGACTTATTGAAAAAATATCAGAGCGGGCGCTAGGTAATGCCTTACCATCAATACTTATGAAATCGTTTATTCTATCATCACGCAGTCAAGACTAGGAACATAGATGCTCACGTTATAAAATAAAACTTAACGTAAAAATAACGTAAACATCCGCTAAGAAAAGATTTAAGAAAATTTTAACATAAAGGAGAAACACGATACTACGCGTTTACGGCCGTCCGCAACAGTTCATTATTCATATTTATAAATCTGGAAGTGTGTTTGTTAACTCTGTGGCAAATTTTCTAAATCTCACCAACTGTCTTGAAAGACAGACACGTAATATTTGGGTTGGAGGAAAATCTTGTTAACTTTTTGGAAGATTTTATAAATCTGACCAATTGTTATCAAAGGCAGATAAATCTATGTGATATTTAGCTTAGAAGTCAATGAAAGATACTTTTCACCCAGGTCATTTACAATATCCTCGAGTCAAGGGACTGTTAGTGATGTTGACTAACGATTCAATTGCCGATAACATATCCTGTCAGGTCTAACTCCACGCGATCCTCCTAGAAACCTTGTGGTCAATTCTTACTTGTGGTGAATATGTTATGAAGTGCTAACTTTCCTGACTTCATCTCAGCGACGGATTTACTAGCAGTATCAGTAGACTGTAATATAGGGCGTTAAATTAGGAGCAATTTTTTTTTCGAATTAACGAAATATTATAATTAACATGATTGTAAACTAAGACTTCGAATTATAGAGGATTTGAATAACCTACTGACGACAAATATATAATTCCGCAATATCTTTTACTGGTATTTCACTCGTCCATATAAATCATAAACTTACAAGACAAGTGCAATAATCCATCTTTATCTATTAAAAAATCGAAATATCCCAGTCACGCGAGCAATATCACGGGCACATTTAATAAAAGCTAATAAAATACTCTATGATATGAGAAACTAGAAAACAAACTTTTAATAACATTTCACCCAGTCCTGAGTCAGATTATAAAAGTGCATTCCCCGAGCTTAAAACACAATACCTCATTTGCAAAAAGCAACTTGCCACTGCACTATGGAAGTTGTCAAATGAAGATGCTAAGTATGTAAAGTGCAAAATATAAAATACATTTTTGTGCTCTAATTCTTATCTACAATTACCTGAGGAGGAAAGTTATAATAGGTTTAAGATATACGGTTCATTAAAAACTACACACAATATTTTTTATACAACTTGAAATTGCAAACAATATTGTATCATAGAGACGGCATCGTAACCTCTACTTATACCATAGTTTTTCGCGCGCATTTATCTGTCAAACTAGGTATTCTACTACTAATATCATTAACATTTCGCGCGCATTTATCTGTCAAACTCTACAATAGTCATCACATGCGAACCGTGTAACTCACAATAAACATCTGATCCTCTTTCGGTTGGCTTTCCTCTTTTACTTTCCCACGTTTCCCAGTACGCATGCGCGCCGCTGCCGCCGCCTTGGGCCTCTGGACACGAAAATTCACCCAATCTGGGAACCTTCCCGCTGGTGGTTCCTTGGCTAATTCTTCCGCTGTATATGGTTAAAGTTATTTGTAATTGAATCTATTCTAAGTTTTAAAATCCAAAACATAAATTTGTTTATTCATTTTTTTGAGTTTTTAAACTAAAAACTCACACATTCATTTTAGTTTAAAAACATATTCTCGATATACATTTTTATTTTACAGAAAAAAAAAAACAAAATCACAATGTGTAATATGAAATTTTATTATTCGATAAAAAAGTCTGCATGTCCTCATAATCATAATCAATCACTAGGTTACCTAATAATACCAAAATAACTGAATCTGCAGACAAGAAATTGTAGTAGATACAATTTAAAGACTCGTAGTCTTTTAGTGTTCAGAAATAGCAACACAAAAAGTATATATATCACAGTATCCATCATACTGTTAAATAAACATAGGTTGGCATGATGTTATAATCATCACAAATTTTATTGATTTTTTAATAAAATTATAGAAAAATAATTAACTGACAACAACAAAATTTACACATAATTTAAATTCTTCATAGCATGTTTTCTCTTTAATGGGTGACAATGGAATAATAACCCAGCCCACGCCCTCGGCATACACTGGCGGGGCACCAGTGAAGGATGACAGGTGAGAATGAAGCAGGTCAGTTAGCCCACTGTGACGATTTCAACAAGAACTGCCCACGATGGTTTCCAGGAGAAACCACGTGGAGGTCGACCCGATAGTATATTGCTAGCAACGGGTTCATTAGACCCCGTTACTAACAATCCCTTCCCCCCTCTTCATAGCATGTTGAACTACATCAATTGTCAATATTGTAACTACTGCATAAATATTGAGTATCATGGTCTAATGCACTTCAGAACAAGCCATTGCATGTTCTACATATTGAAAAATTGGAAGTATCAATAGAAATAAATATTTCTGTGACATTTACTTCAATAGATTTCCTTCAATAGATTTCCAACATACACACAAAAATTCAAATCTTTCCTCTATATAATATTAGTGTAGATAGAAGATTCTTTCTTTTTAATCGGTACCTTCGTTGTTTATCCCCGTGTGGGTATACTTTAGAGCTATATCTACAGTTAGCTATGTTTGAAATGTAATATTCGTGGCATGGCACAAGCCTATCAGGAAGTATCGTGCTTTGACAAATGTAAGATGCCGTTATACATCTCAAGGACAAACCATTACCTAATTTTTACCCGCAAATTCGCTAATTGTTACTAATTAGATATATCTAACAATAATATAAGTATCCAATACTATTTATGTGGAAGGAAGGGATTGATAGTAATGGGGAGGTTAATTCCCATTGCTATCAATATACCCAACTAGGTCGACCTCCACGCGGTTCCCCCTGGAAACTATCGTGATTAATTTATCATTAAATTCTATGTATATAAAATTAAATATATTATATTATTATCTATTTCATTTTAGGTTATTATTACCACTTTTCATCAAATGGACCAGCGGCTTGTTGCAATTCCAATTCGTACAAAATATCTTACCAACTTTCCTCGTGATCCTCCTCGGCAGGTCCCAAGTGCCGGTGTAGTGGCCGAAGCATCTGGATGTGCCCCTTGGAGCTCCCGGCAAGAAACGGCCGTTTATATCACATATTGGTTTCGGATTGGGACGCATTTCGGCCGGCCTTGCGCGGCTTGGCGCCCAACGTGGGACCTGCCAATTTCCCAATCTCTTCGGCATCGATTCCTTGTTAAACTGCGTAAAATGAAAAAGTTTGTAAGTCATTGTAAGGCGCTTATGTCATAAATCCAATAATATCTAATATATAAAATTCTCGTGTCGCGATGTTTGTTACCAAACTCCTGCAAAACGGCTTTACCGATTTTTTTTAAATTTTGTGTCCATATCGGATAGGTCTGAGAATCGGCCAACATCTATTTTTCGTAACCCTCAATGATAAGGGTGACCCACCCCTAATTTTTTTTTATTTCTTTGACAATTTTTTTTATTTAATTATAATTTAACATTGAAAAATACATACAGAATCAAATTTTCACGCTTTTACGATCAACCCCTGTTGTTTAATCGGGATTTTTATATTCCGCAATAGGATTGCAAGATGACAATCGAATATAATAATTGTAGTAGATTTTCATGCATAGTTCTAGAAATAATGTTTATGGTAAAACAACCTTTACTGAGTCAGCTAGTATTTATATAATATTTTTTTTTTTATTACAATAGCGTGACTTGTGACCACGCCATCGTAAGCGAAACCAGAAACAATAATGAATCGTGAATACAATCAACTCTAAACCTCAATTAAATCACTCTGAGCTTTTTTAATTGTTACTAAAACATATGGTACTGCTCATGTCTATAGGCGACGGTTACCACTTTCCATCAGGTGGGCCGTCAGCTTGTTTGCCATTCTAAGTTGTATAAAAAAAAACATAACTAGTGCATAGAAAATTAAACAAACCACCCTATCTTTAAAATCCTTACAACCATTCAACTAGAAATCTTCCTATACAGCCCTCATAACAATGAGATCGCGAAGGACAAATTAAAAATTTATATTTAACAAAAAACCTATAACAATAACGTTACACGCGTCGCCCATTCAGCAGGTGTCAACTCACCCCCTCACGGGCGAGGCGTTATAATAATCATCCCTCGCGACAAAGGGTTGCAAATTGTTATTTACCCCATATATCACCAATGCTTTTCCCTAAATTATAATTATAATAGGGCGTAATAAATTAGAATTATCCAACCACATTTGTTTAAAACTTTCTTAATGAGGTATTCAGGGGATTTATTTATTTTTCAAAAATTCACGTCTCCCGTCTTAAGGAAAGGAGATGGCGAACTAACCCCCGGCACAAGCACAGTCGGCCCGGGTTCAGGGCCCTAGGGAGAGAAACCGGCGTACAATGCGGGCAGAATCTAAGAGCACCGCTTTCTGCATCTTTTACGGGAGTGAGCCGCCTCGGAATCCCAACCGTCTGAGACGTTGTTCCAGACTAGTTGGGATAAGACCGTTCACCGACAAAACGATTGGAATGATTTCGGTGGACGTCACCCCCCACATTTCGGTCACCTCGTGAGCCAGGTCGAGATTTTTATTATTAACTAGTTTTTTCCCGCGTCTTCGTCCGCGTGATATATTTACTAAAAGGAATAAAAAATAACCTATATCCTTCTCCATCTAGTATACGAGTAGTTCGTGTATACCAAATTTCATAGTGATTTGTCAAGCCGTTAAGGTACGATAAAGTAACAAACAAACTGTTAAAGCATTAACAATATGCAATGAATATTATTCACTCCTGCGTATAATGAAGCGGTTTCAGCGGTAAAACCAATGGACGACTGCTAAGCTATTAATAGATAATCACACACAACATCAACCAGTAACAAGAGCCGCTCATCACGGCATCGCGAGAACGCCAATCATAGCGCAAGAGAAATTTACTTGACCTTTCAGGTTTTCAAAATTGTAACTGACTCGCAAAACAAAACTTCAACGTATAACATCAAATTTATATTACATCAGCGCTTCAAATTATTATCTATTTTATTTACCCTAGTTAAATCGCTGCAAATACTAGGTGTATTTATTCATCATCACCATCATCATCATCATCTGTTCATCATCAAACGCAAGCGCACATCATTAACACAAACTCATTTTCAAATTTATAATATTAGTAAGGAAGGTTTTTTTTTATACAACTTAGAATGGCAAACAAGCTGACGGCCCACCTGATGAAAAGTGGTAACCGTCGCCTATAGACATGAGCAGTACCATGGACATAACAGAGTATACTGTTTCGCCCATGATACCCCCCATGCGTTGCCATTCCTAAGGACTCAGGTGTTATTCCTCTGTACCCAGTAAATTCACGCCATATCCCACCCTTCAAACCGAAACACAGCCATGCAAACACAACTGCTTTGCGGTTGAAACACGAATGGGACAGAGGTACCCAAGCAATCGACTTTTGTACAAAGTCTCCCTCTGGTAAGTTAAGATCCCACTTTCTTTCCCGTAGGTGTCGTAAGAGGTGACTAAGGTAATTCAATGGTTAAAGGATGGGCTGCAACGTCCCTCTTAAAATATCACCAAAGCCGATCTGCGTGCATTACCCTGCCTACTAAACGTGGCAACTACTGGTAAAACTTACCAAAAAAAGGCCTAGAGAGAGTGAGAAAATAAAATATCGAATCGAAACAAATCCGTCAGATTACGCTTGACAGCGGTCCAGGGATTTTAAGATCTAATCAGCCTAAAAGTCTGAATTTTAAAATACGTGTTTCAATAATTTAAAATGATTAACATTTACCTTGTACTTTGAAGTATATATGAAGCCGTTGTCCAGTACTTAAGTTACATCAAAGGCCTTTAACTTATCTAAAAATTCTTTACATTAGAGGGCGCCACTCTCGCACGAATTAATAAAAAAAATAGAGCGGAATATGTTTTACCACTAAAACTAGGAAACAGACTTACAGTTCACGTGATGTGAAAGTAGTAGTAGTAGTCGCTTTTAGACAGCACAGTATACACTGTGTTACTTCGCACCTACTAATTATTTATATTTTTAATTTTTCAGAGAGTAATTTCATTATAATTTTTCTTTTATTCATCTCTAAATAATTATATTCTAATTTTATTACTAGATAAGTCTTAGAACTTAAGTTTAAAAAATTATTATTAATAGTTTAAAAAAATAACAAGCATGACTTAAAAGCCAGTAGACAGAAAGTTTTAAAATGAAATAAAAAATGGCTGCGTGCATAAACAACTATTGTCGAAGCATTAAACTTTAAAAATAATTGTAACAGGGTACCGTTATATAAAAGTTACAATTCCTTTACGTCCGTGAACTTGGAGACCTTGCCTGTTTACCATTGCCACGTGTTACTCAGCCATTGTCCTGCCATTGCGTCAATGTAGCATTGCGCTTCTTTTTATCGTTGTATGTTATATTTAGACCAGCTATGTACCTACTATCGAATTTATTTTGATACTTGATATGTTTAGGCATACATAGGTTTTTTTATGGTTGCCATGCACGATGTTTATATTTAGAACAGCCATTACCTAATTTATTTTGATATTTGATGCATTTAAATGTAATAATATGGTTGACTTGCACGACATTTTAATAGGCAACCTTCACAAAAAACCACCATATTTGTGTATTTCCGGGTGTAAACAACTGGAAAAGATGTGTCGTGCACAGAATGTGGTTTTTTTTTTTTATTCCAATTGTTTTATGAGTTTTATTTATTTTATTTGTTTATCCAACTTAGAATGGCAAACAAGCTGATGGAAAGTTGTAACCGTCACCTATAGACATGAACAGTACCATGAACATAACAGAGTATAATGTTTCGCCCATGATACCCCTGAGGACTAAGGTGTTATTCCCCTGTATCCTGTAAATTTACTGCCATATCCCACCCTCTTAACCGAAACACAGTCATGTAAACACAACTGCTTCACAGTAGAAACACGAATGGGACAGAGGTGCACAAGCAAACGACTTTTGTACTAAGTCTCCCTCTGGTATTACGTATATATATGATTTAAGATATTCCACTAAAATTCCACTTGAATTGTGATAAAACCAGTTATTTTCATTTAAAAACTAAGCTACTAAACCGATTTTAATACAATTTATATGGAACCAATCTATAAATACATCCTTTCAGACTAAAATAAAAATTTCCAAGTTAGTTTAAAATCGACAGGGTTATGAGGTAACAAACATAAAAAAACACATACAACTAAACTAAACTAGAAAAACAAGCTGACGGCCCACCTGATGGAAAGTGGTATTTAAAGACATAACGTATACTGTTTCGCCCATGATGCCATTTAAGGTGTTATCATATCATATCCCACCCTTCAAACCGAAACACAGCCATGCAAACACAACTGCTTCACGGTTGAAACACGAATGGGACAGAGGTACCCAAGCAATCGACTTTTGTACAAAGTCTCCCTCTGGTGAATTTAAAATCGGTTGATTATTTAATGTCATATCATATTTATAAACACTCTTTTAATTATAGAAACATCTATATTTGTAAATATAATTCTCGGTAAACAAGTCAATTGTGGTCCGCAGATGAAAAAATCAAGACTGCCATTTTAAAATAAAACTATTCAAAAAGAAATTAAAGCTGGTTTCTTACGGAATGACGTAAGAATCTAACGATACTCCATAGTTACAAATCTGTTAAGGTATTTAGAAATTATAGAGAAACAAAGAAACTGTCGAGGTTTTCCCAAGAGACCATAGCATGGGGTTCTTCAAAGGGGGGCTAAAGAGTTTCTTTTGGGTCGACAACGCGTAATAACCCTAGTATTGCAGGCGTTTATAGGCTACGATAACCACTTACCATCAGGTGGGCCGTATGCTTGATTACCACCTCAGTGGTATAAAAATGTACAATGGAAAGTCAAATGCTTTGATTCAAACAAACCTTTTTCGCTTCTCCCACATTTATCAATCCTTTCATATGCACTCACCAGTTACGGATACTTTTAATTTGGCCCTTCTTCAACACATTGCCTATTTGGTCGAAATACGTCCATCTAGAGCAGCACATCTCCATTTATTCTTGCTCGATATATCTCTTTCGTAATTCTTCTTTCATCCATCCTCTCCAAACGGCCAAGCCAACGCAACATTCCTTTTTCGATTTTTGTTACTACATCATCTTTCAGTCCACTCTCCTTTCTAATCACACTGTTTTTTGCTCCATCTTTTAATTTAATACCACACATACTTCTTAGAGATTTCATCTCTACAGCATTTATCTTATTTTTATGCTTCCCGCTTGTTGTATAAGTAATAAGTTTTTAAATTATTACATAATATTATGATGGATTGCTATCTATAAGGCTTCTCTAATCAATAAGCTAACTTTTAACTCATTATGAGTCAAAATTAACACTTTATTAAAACACGCCGTGTAGGTCCCGGCATAGAATAGACCATCCCTTCCTTTCCCGTGGGTGTTGTAAGAGGCGATTAAGGGGATTTATAGGCGAAAGATGAATAGCAGCGTTTTTCTTAAAACATCATAAAAAGCCTAACTGCGGTTGCCAAACTACTGCCTAAACCCTCCTTTATTAATAAACATTGTCAAAGTCTAATTGCGGTTACCAAATCGCCTGCCAAGCGTGGCAATTACTAGCCAACTAAAACCCCCCTTTATGGGGGAGGCGTATGTTCAGCAAGAGACAGTTAATGGCTGATATAATCATGTTGATAATAATATCAAACAAGTTTCTCAAAAAACATAATTTCCGTAACATTTTCCCATTAATCATGACTTAATGGAAACATGTTTCGTACTAAAAATTCGAAACGAAAAATCTTTAGGACCATAGACTAGATAATTTTTGTTTTTGTAGTTTCCGACACGTACCGCATAAACATTTGAGATTTATTATCGATTTTATATGCATCTAATTCATTAGACAAGAATTATTTTCTTATTTTAATTAAATGAAACGATATATTTATTGATGAACAATAAAATACGAAAGAGAAAAAAATACTTCGCTTTATCTGTCGTCTGACATTTTAACTTTTTTTATAAATCATAGATAATAGAATACAATTTGGAACAGATACACAAGAGCTATTAACTAAAGACCAGCAGGCAGAGTGTCAAACATGGATTAAAGAGGTACACAATGCCGTGAAAAATTGTCATTCTCTTGCAAACAGCCCACCCCTTGTTGCAGTGACCGATTGCGCAAAATAGAAAAACAATATTGAACCGTACACTTGCTACATAAAATTCAATTTCGCATATGGCGAATTAATTTGAGGATGTTTGCGATGTAATTGGATGAATCTAACTTGGATTAAGGGCATTACAATTTGTATGTAAGTAAAAAAGTTATGGGGGACTTGATAGTTGCAGGTGCTCATGTATTAAAAAATAAATGCCATCTACTAGCTTTGTCTATGGTCGTTAAGTATCTATTTAAGCACACGGTTATAGAAGTCGCAAAAAAATTATTTAATTGCCTAATTATTCATAAAAACTTCATACCTCATAAACTTATTTTAACCTACCAGAGGGAGACTTTGTACAAAAGTCGATTGCTTGGGTACCTCTGTCCCATTCGTGTTTCTACCGTGAAGCAGTTGTGTTTGCATGGCTGTGTTCCGGTTTTGAGGGTGGGATATGGCGTGAATTTACAGAGTACAGAGGAATAAGATCTGAGGCCTCAGGAATGGCAACGCATGGGGGGTATCATGGGTGAAACAGTATAGATACTCTGTTATGTCCATGGTACTGCTCATGTCTATAGGCGACGGTTACCACTTTCCATCAAGTGGGCCGTCAGCTTGTTTCCCAGCTACATCTTACAGCCAAAGAATGAAAATAAAAAAGCAACAAATAAAATAAACAAAAAAGAATTCCTTTTTGAAATCGGTTGGAAAAAATGTTTGTCTGTATAAAATAAAATATTTTATAGCAATAAATAAAATAGAAAACGTTTGAATGTAATGAAGCACCAAAACAATATTCCTATTACACTTCTATCAATTTCAAAATCTAAACAGTAACAGAACACCTATTACTCACCTGTCCACTATCGAAATGGTATGCCATTTTAAAACACTAGATAAGTTCAAAACACATCTATTTAATACAAATTTGAACAAATTCCGTTAGCCACGTGTCTGTTTCTGAAATGGAATTGTATTTCATCGGGAAATGTGGAAACCTATCGGCACAACTGTCGCGTTGTCATGACAACGGGACAATTTCCAGCCAGGACTATGATGGATTTCCCTACGCACTGCCGTATCCTGAAAAGGTGAACGACCTTTTGACGTTCAGTGAAAAGATTAGACGCGTGTCTGCTATGCTTTCGGTGACTGTTCAAATTTTCCGTTAATAAGACTTTGATTAATACTAGTGTTAATGTTATTTTTAGTTCATTAAACGTAAGGTATTTTATATTTTTTTTTACACTTTTTGTCTACCACGATAGGCAAAGACAATTTTTTTTTCGTCAAATTCTTTTTTTGTCTTACCTCTCAGTTATATTACTAAATATATTATTCATTTGCTTATAATCATTTCAAACTGTATCTATCCAATACTAAATATAAATCTTCCACGATGTCTTCCAATGTGTGATCCTTTGATTTTCGCACTGGTGACGACACACTATTAGTCCTTTTCATTGGAAAGTTTATGCCCATAAAACACCAAGTTGGATAAGCAGATTGGTGATTGAAATTTTTTGAAATCCTTTAAAAATTTGAAACATTTTTAAAGGAGTTTAGGGAGAGGGAGAGAGGATGTGGGATATTACAGTGACAGCTGTGGTCTCCAAAAGCGCGTACCTGGATTTATCGGAAAAATGAAGGTGCTTCATCGTTATTATCATGTCAGTCGTTATCTGCCCATTATTGAACTAAGGCCTCCTCCCTGAAGACTGCCACAAGAAACGGCCCTGAGTCACCTACATCCACTGAGTTCCTGCAATGCATTTAAGGTCGTCACTCCATCTAGTGGGGGTTGTTCATTACTGTACTTCGCAGTATAAACTGTGGAGTTCAGAGCATTAGAAAAATAAGTAAAAAATGTGTAAAAATATAAAGCGCAGTATGAAATATGTAAATCCGAATAATAGATATACCCATTATTTAATTATACTTGTTTTTGAGCTCTTTTAAATATTTAATTTCCATGATTCTATTGCACTTAGCCTATAAAGCTGCTGACCCATAGTGTATCGTGTACATTAAGTGGACCTAGCCGGTCCTACTATTAGGTAATAGTATTAGGTAATTACGACTACTATTAGATAATGCATAATCTTGGCCTTATTCATTGGTAGGTAGGTACCTACCAATGAATAAGGCCAAGATTATGCATTCTGACCAAAGGAAAAAGCACCTGAATCTAGCAGGATACACGACGTATCTCCAGGCAATCTTCGGAATTGGAGCTTAATTTGCTTCTCGATCACCATAAGAGCTAAGATATCTGTAGAGGCGGTCTCACCCTTGCAAACAAGGAAGGGATTGTTAGTAGCGTATCATGTCATTTTCACCCAAAAAGAATATTACAAATCCGAACCCTGAGATGCGGATCTTCTCCAGCAACTGCTAACACGAATCTGGGATCCTCGCGTGGTACTCTATGAGGGATTTTCTCCAACTAAAAAGAAGTGAGTTCTCGGTGTGGCCAGCACTTTATAATGACAAAACCTGATATATCTTTAAGATTGCACAACGTTGCGTGCCGTGAAGCTATGTCGATGTCACCATAAAGAGAATTAGTGAATACCGTGACCTTCAATCCAGATAGGTACATTTGTATTGTTATGTACATATAACTGCTTATTACAGCATTAATATCGTTTTGCGAGTACATTAACCGCGGATGTCGCGGCCCGGTACATGAGTCTTTACATAAATTATTCTGCTTTGTGACCGACTAAATCAATTTGAAGGCAACTTCACGTTTTATTAGGGCTGTCTGTAATTCCAATATGTACTATAAAAAATGTATTATTTAATATTTATTAGGAATGCCTACAACCACTGAGTCACAGCTTGGCATCATGGCAGGATTAGGATCATGACAGGGAATTCGTCATCTCATCCTAAAACTAAAATTGTCGCGTACAGTGCTATTTCAAAGAGGTTACCTTCAACGAACACTGATTTTATTTTATTTATTTATTTATTCATTAGTACAAATATGTGTGCATGGCGGACTGAATGCTAAAAGCATTATCTCCCAGTCAACCATAGGGAAGTGCCAGAATACTCGAATGCGGTACTACTATTATTACTGATTGTGGAATAAAAAAAAAAGCAATTCTCAGCAGAATCTGATATTTATCTAAAGACTATATGAATGAATGAATGAATTTTATTGCTAAAAATATAGCATGGGTTTCTTCAAAAAGGATGTAATAAGATTTTATAAATATTGGCAGCGTGCACATGCACCGTTTCCATCAGACAGGCTGCTTTTTTGCTAACGTAATAGATAAAAAATTATACTAAAAACTAAATAAACGTTCTATTACTGATCACTGATTAATTCATTGATTAAGGCATTCTCCGAAACCATTTAACCAATTGTAATGATATTTTATAAATGTGTTTGCTCCAACTCGAAGTCTTAGGTGACCATCTTCACATAATTATTAATAGCAGTAACATAACTTGTACTGCTCATGTCTCTAGGCGACGGTTACCACTTTCCATCAGGTGGGCCGTCAGCTTGTTCGCCATTCTAAGTTGTATAAAAAAAAAATTAATACTACTACTCAATGTTAGCAAAGGCTAACTTATCTCTAAAAGAGATTTCTTCCAGTCAACCTAACACACTGGCATGTAAAGTAGGGAGTAGGCAGTAGTATTGCTAAACAGAAACTAAAATAAATATTTAAGACAGCCCTAAGTTGGATGCAAATTTTATTATGATGTATTTAAATTTTTGTCGACAACTTGAATTTACAATGACTTTGGTAATAACTTCAGTAAGAACGAAAGTTAACTATATTTATTATTTTCAAGAACAGTTACAACAAGATATTTAGATAATAAAAAATGTTTTCCATTGATAATATTTGACTATCAGCATTGACACATATAATAAACGAGTTTGTTATCTCTATTTCTTATGAAACTTCAAATTTATTTTTATTAATATATGTATACATACTTATTGAATTCCTCTAAACATTTTGATGTCGCTCATGCCAGTCGAACATCTATATTTTTTTTATAACAAAAGACAATCGAGCATACAGTTCACCTGATGGTAAGTTATTACTGCCGCTCATAAGCACCCGCAAAACGGGAAGAATTGTTGTTTTCTGTCCGCCTTTTAAAATAATAATATATTTATTTTTGTCTCCTCACAAACAACATAAATTTACACAAAGGTATTTAGGATAAATATAAAAAAATAGCGGGACACACTTGGAAAAGACAAGCGCAGAATCGCATTCAGTGGCGAACTCTAGGGGAGGCCTATGCTGGACAGCAAGACAATCTTCACGTACCGGTGTCTAACAAATAATTAAATTATTATAACTGTATTGTAAGATTGTTAATAAAGGCTATTATTATTATTATTATTTAGGATAAAATAAAATAATTATAATACGGAACTCTGCTGTGAGGAGCTGGTGTCTGTAATAGGTTAAGGTTAAGTATAGTACAGATCACCAGGCCCCCAACCGATATGTGTTTAAATAATAATCAAACAAAATACATTCCACTGAAATTACACAATCCAAAAATAAAAATAAAAACAATAATTAATAGTATGAGATAAAAAAAAAGAGCAATAAAATTAATATTAAAAAAAAGCGTGTGTGTGTGTGTGTGTGTGTGTGTGTGTGTGTGTGTGTGTGTGTGTGTGTGTGTGTGTGTGTTTGTGTTTAAAAAGAAATTTTCTTTATACCTATTAATATAACGTATGTTTATAACTTTAATCGGGTGCTTCACTTCGATATCAAATAACCTATGTTTAATATTTATTTATTTATTTGACCAACTGGGTGAGCTTTACAGTCTCCCAACACTCACCCAAAAAAGCATCAGTACAACAATAAATACTTTATTACTATAATTAAAAGAAATAATATTAATAAGATATATCCATTTCATTATTAAGCCAATATGTTGATATTGATCGGCGTGTAGGTCCAGGCATAGAATGGACACCCCCTTCTTTTCCCGTGGGTATCATAAGAGGCGACTAAGGGAGCATATAATGGAGGGATACGCAGCAGCGTCCCTCTTAGAACATCTGTAAAAGCCTAGCTGCAGTTGCCAACTCGTCTGCCAAGCGTGACAACTACTGGCAAAACGCTCCTTATGGGGAAGGCTAATGTTCAGCAGTGGACATGGCAGAGTTAATGGATGAAATAGTAATAGTAAAAAATGTTGATATTGTAACTGCTATAAATTGCTATACCCACTTAATCTTTTTGCCGTTGATTTTTCCTTCCTTTATGGCTAGTTTAGCTAAATGGTCTACTTATTTAGATAGATAGATACTCTTTATTGTTTCCTCCAAAAGATTACAATAGTAAACTTATTATAAATATAAACAATTACAAGAAATAATCACAATGAGAAAACAATGGCGACCTTATCGCAAAGAGCGATCTCTTCCAGGCAACCTTTGGATGGAGAGGAGTAATTATAAACAATTTGGTAGGAGACATGATGAAAAATTTTGTTAGTTCTAGATATGGGAGATGTAATACATATAATAATATAAATATTATCCCTACTCATTATATATATATATATATATATGTATATATATATATGTATATATATATATATGTATATATATATATATATCCGAATAAAATTAAGATATAGTCGTAGTAGGGTTGTCAGTTTATTTGGCATTCTAAGTATATTTATATGATTTATATATATATATATTGTTCTGTAAGCCAATGTATACCGGAATCTATTGCAATATTATATGAAATTTTATTTTAATCTATGAATGAGTTCTAAAATTTTGTTAGCTGTAGACATTCCTCTCATTGTGTTTTCACAACGAATTAAATTCTGCAATCCACTCTTGCAATTTGATAAAATGGAGCTTCAAAAGAATGGCCTATTCTATGCCAGGACCTGCACGGCTACAATTAATTTACAAAATTATTGTTCAATAATGACGGATAATTGCGACATTGTCACAGATTGAAAAGCAAAAATTATAAACGCTCTCAAAATAGTGTTCTTGTTTGTTTGTTTGTTTCCTTCCACGAACACTCAGGTTGTAAAATGAGCTACCTGCCGAGATTTTCCCAAGAGGCTACAGCATGGGGTTCTTCAAAAGGGAGGTAAAGAGGTTTCTTCAGGGTCGGCAACGGGCGCGTAATACCTCTGGTATTGCAGGTGTTCATAGGCTACGGTAACCACTTACCATCAGGTGGGCCGTATGCTTGTTTGCCACCTCAGTGGTATAGAAAAAAATCCAGATGGTAGGATTATGATTCATTTTGTACGTCTGCAAGTGTACAGCTGGTACGGTATCTATCTTTTATAGATATGATATGAAAGAGTGATAAATATGGGTTATCATTGTATTGGAATTACGTTATATGTTAAAGAGCACGATGGTGAATGGTTTCCATAATAAGGTTGACAGTTTTAATAATTTTATTCAACGAACGTCTATACCAGAGGGAGACTTTGTACAAAAGTTGATTGCTTGGGTACCTCTGTCCCATTCGTGTTTCAACCGTGAAGCAGTTGTGTTTGCATGGCTGTGATTACGGTTTGAAGGGTGGGATATGGCGTGAATTTACTGGGTACAGAGGAATAACACCTGAGTCCTCAGGAATGGCAATGCATGGGGGGTATCATGGGCGAAACAGGCGAACTCTGTTATGTCCACGGTACTGCTCATGTCTATAGGCGACGGTTACCACTTTCCATCAGGTGGGCCGTCAGCTTGTTTGCCATTCTAAGTTGTATAAAAAAATACTTAATATATTTCATCATCATCATCATTATTTCAGCCATTAACTGCCTACTGTTAAACATAGGACACTTTTTTTTAATCGGTGATAATGGAATGGTAACCCCACCCGCGTTATCGGTATACACTGGCAGGGCACCAGTGATAGATAATAGGTGAGGAAGAAAGCAGGTCAGTTAGCCCATCGTAACCAATTCCACTAGAATTAACCAGGATGCTTTCCAGGGGGAACCGCGTGGAGGTCAACCTGATAGGGTGTATTGCTAGTAATAGGCCAATTAAACCCCATTACTAACAATCCCTTTCCCTCCTACATAGGGCACTCCCACTAACTGCCATAAAGAATTTCCCCGAATCACCTGCTTCCACTGACTTTCTGAAATGAGAGGTCATCGCTCCATCTGGAGGGGGGAATCATCTTACACTTGTTTGCCTGTATGGGGCTGCCACTCAAGCCTTTCTTCCCCATTGGTTGTCGGTTCTTTGAGATATATGACCAGCATAAGCTGGTACATAGCAATGGTGCTACATCAACTTTTTCATCCTTCTACCAAATATATTTCTATAGACTGAAAAGAAAATAGTTACTATCTTCTTAAAAGAGACTTCTACAAATGATAACAAAATTTTAATCCACGCTGTGAAATTACATGATACGATGGTATAACATCTTAATTTTTAAAAATAGCAACCCATGAGTATCGCGGGCGTCCCAGTATACTTTGTTAGGTCCACGGTAATTACTGTTCACGTCTATAAGCGACCACTTTACATGTGTTGGGCCATCAGCTCGTTTGCTATTTTAAGTTGCATAAAAAAAACTACAGCAAAATCGAAGATAACCAGAAAAGCAAGAGGTCCTTCAAAATTAATGCTCAATAAAACAAACTACAGCACAGTACAAGCTATCCAGGGCCCTCAATTACCATATCGCACCTGCGTCCCGGTTCGTCAGGGATCGATAGGCGGAGTCGGCCCGGGATTGGCTCATCTCCAGTAGGCGGAGCGAGGATGCTGTGCAGATGCTACCCATAAAGCTTGTGGCACATCGTATGTATTGTTTTAAAACAGGCATATCTTTCAATTATAATAAAATTATACAATGTCTGTACATGGAACATATTTAAAAAAAAATTAATAGCAAAGGTCTCAGTAAGAGCAATTGATGTCAAAGTATAATTTTTTAAAAACTTGTCTGTCTGTCTGTACGTTTGTTCCGGCATCACGCTAATACTACTGCAGCAAATTAGATGCGGTTTTTTTGGATGAAAATGGAATGGTTACCCCGCCTGCGCTAACGGGATACGCTGGCGGGGCACCAGTGAAGGGTGATCGATGAGGATGAAAACAGGCCAGTTAGCCGATCATGATGAATTCATCTGGAATTAATCATGATAGTTTCCAGGGGGAACCGCGAGGAGGTCGACCTGGTTGGGTATATTACTAGCAATGGGATTCTCAGTCTCCATTACTTCCCCCTTCCCTTTCCCCCCAATAAGTTTAGTTAGTACTAATAACTAACACTTTGATTGAACTAAAAAAACCATTTTCTAAAAATAATGTAGGTATATGGCAAAACAACGTTTGCAGAGTCAGCTAGTATTATATTATTATAATAATACTAGCTGACTCGGCAAACGTTGTTTTACCATATACATTATTTCGAGAATTATACATGAAAATTTATAGTACCTACTACAATTACTTCTATATTCGATCGCTATCTTGTAACCCTATTGCAGCATATAAAAATCGCGATTAAAAAACAGGGGCTGATTGTAAAAGCGTGAAAATTTGAATTTGTATGTATTTTTCAATGCTAAGTCATAATAAAATTAAAATAAAAAAAATTGTCAAAAAAAATAAAAATAAAATATTTAGAAGTGGGTCACTTTTATTGTAGTTAATAGTAGGTACTTATTAGTACTATTAACTATTCGTTCTATTGAACAGAGCATCTATTTGTTTTTTTTTTTTTATCAGTGTTTTATATACATAGTTATGCTTAAAATGTATCTTGACGTATTATTCAATAAATAAAATAAGTGTTTACGCATTAAAAAGATGCAAAAATTATAAGACAAAATAAATATAGAAGCTATACTTTATAACTTCTATATTTATTTCACTTATAACTATTTATCACGCAAAATTGTTTGAAAAAGTTGACCTGTTTTTCTCGAAGCATTTCTGAGACACTCTATCTACTATGTCTTAAATGTAGACAAACTATAGTAGATATTGTAAAGAAAAGACAACCATTTATGATCTTTGATCTAGTTTTTTTTTTTTTTTTTATTGGATGAAAATAGAATGGTTACCCCGCCTGCGCTAATAGGATACGCTAGCGGAGCACCAGTGAAGGGTGATCGATGAGGATGAAAACAGGCCAATTAGCCTATCATGATGAATTCATCAGGAATTAACCATGATAGTTTCCAGGGAGAACCGCGAGGAGGTCGACCTGGTTGGGTATATTGCTAGCAATGGGATTCTCAGTCTCCATTGCTAACAATGCCTTTCCCCCCTTTGATCTAGTTTAGGGTCTTTTACAAGTTGTGCAATGTCATATATCCATTCATAGACATATAATTATATTTGGTTCATGTGACTGCGTGTTTTCTGTAAAATTTGTGAAGAAAACAAAACGTAATCTGATACAAAATTGATGAAAATGAATTGAAAAATAAAATAATTTCAACAATAGAACAACAAATTAAAGAACAAACATTAACAATTTTTTATTTTATTAACCATACATTGTTACTTTTATAGCACAATATTTTTAAAACAATAATGTGGTCCATACACATCTCATATTCGGTCCCGCCCACAGAGGGTGGTACAGCCCTCAGTGTAATATAAAATAAGGGATGCTGCCGTCTCGTGTCAGTACATGATCATACCACGGACAGTGCTGTGAATAATGTTTGGACTATTCTGTATAGTGTGACTTTATTAATGTGCTCAAAAGCTGTAAGCAATTAGACATCATCACATTATTAACGTAAGTCAATAACAACAATTAACTATATAAATATATATATATATATATTTATATATATATATATATATATATATATATCCGAATAAAATTAAGATATAGTCGTAGTAGGGTTGTCAGTTTATTTGGCATTCTAAGTATATTTATATGATTTAAAATTGTGCTGAGAAAAATATTGTGCTATATATAATATATATAGATACTATTTATTGTTTCCTTCACAAGGTTATATATACTTATTATAAATACAAACAATTACAAGAAAATATTACACAAAGAAAACAATGGGCGGCCTTCCAGGCAACCTTTGGATGTAGAAGAGTAATTATATACAATTAGTATTAAAGTAGTTTGTTTTACCCGTGTGTGACTGTAACTACTAATGAACTGTCAGTTTTCTCATATTGGGTTCGCTGGAAGAAATCTCTATTGGAGATAAGCTCGCCTTTGTGCACTATTATGTTTGTTTTTACATTTTAATAACCTTTTGTGTACAATATAGAATAAAATAACAAACTAAGAATCTATCGGTTAACTAAATGAATTGCTTAAGAATCTGTAGGTACTTCTGTACTTTAAAATATCATATTTTGTGTTGTAAAAATTTTATTGTACATACTTTATATTAGGCATATTAGGAATATTTAATAGTGAACTCATCCCATAGAGAGAACTCTTACAGTTAACCTTTAAGAAGTTGAAAGAAAACTATAAAATGTTCGTGAGTACAAGTTGTACAGCTAAAAATAAAAATTAATAATACATAATTAAAATTAAATATACCGTTGTCTATATAACAATAATAAATAATTGCATACATCTATATATGTAAATAATAATAATATAATCCTTCACATATAACTATAAAAATAGATATGTATACTTTTTTTTTTTATACGACTTAGAATGGCAAACAAGCTAACGGCCCACCTGATGGAAAGTGGTAACCGTCGCCTATATACATAAGCAGTGCCATGGACATAACAGAGTATACTGTTTCGCCCATAACACCCCCCATGCGTTGCCATTCCTGAGGACTCAGATGTTATTCCTCTGTACCCTGTAAATTCACGCCATATCCCACCGATTCATACCGAAACACAGCCATGCAAACACAACTGCTTCACGGTAGAAACACGAATGGGACAGAGGTACCCAAGCAATTGACTTTTGTACAAAGTATATAAACAATAACATTGATACAAATATATATATTCACTATTTTATTGGTTCAATGAAACAGGAGTTTCAGAATAAATTTGTATAATACCTGCTTTAAAAGATTTCAATGATTGTGCCATCCCCAAGATATTGCTTAAAAATTCTTGTTACCAAAGGGTATTTGTTAACAAGAGTTTCTAGGCCACCTTCGTTATATGCGATGACGGCTTTATGTACCATATAAAACACGAAGTAAGTGACAATAATTAGCTTTTCATTTATTTATTCTTTATCGCACAATAAAGTTTTGTACAAGTGGCGAGTTTAATGCCATATGGCATTCTGTACCTAACCATTAGATAAAAACAGAAAGGTCCATTCCTTGTAAATTCGTAGTGACAACGTGATGCGTCAACTGACCTAATTTTACCCCCACCTATTAATTCATTTAAGAAAAAATCCGTTGTAATTACGCCCCACACCGGATTATAGATTTTCTCAAGTTTCATTTTTAAACGAAAATAACCAGTAATAATAATGACAATGATGAATATTACAGATGTGAAAGTGAGTTTTTTTAAATACCTTTTGGTATATTAAACAATCGTCATAATAGGTTAACTGGTAGAGAAAGCTATCAGGCATTAAGTCCGCCCTTTAGACACATTTTAATGTATGCAAAAGTATAAATAAATATATTTTATTTTAATATTACATCTGGAATCAACAGCTTATATCTAGAATAATTAAAAATATTCTATTTACACTATACGTTAGCTAATTACAGATTCCCAATTTGTATACCAGACAGTATTATGCTTATTTTTGGAGGGTAGGTTAAATTAAATAGAAAAAAAATATTAATATGTATATATGTATACATATATATTGTTAGCATTTGGCGTTCCATTGTTTCTGCCTACCCTAATGGGAGACAGGCGTGACAGATATATATGTATATATATTGTTATATTGTTTGACATAGAGAAAGTCATAGATAACTGTTTGTCTCGGTCAATCAATGTCAAACAAAGTCACGGGTAAAGATCAGTGTCATATAAGCGAATAACAAAGGATTAATGTTCTTTAACTTAGTTATTACATATAATTATTTTGATAACTATGTACTTATACCCTTTTTTTAATAATACGTATTAATAAACAGTTATTATCGGAACACAATGACAAAAAAAGGGCGAATTAACGTTTCTTCAAAATCAGCAACGTGCACGTGACACCCCTAATGTCGCAGGCGTCCATAGGCTACAATGACCGTTTACCATCCGACTGGCCGGCCGAGCGGCCGGTGGTGCGAAGCTACCATCCGCAGGATTATGCCTGAACACCTCTAAGGCCGAAACCAGCCTAGCCGAATCCGGCAAGGATATGCTCACGGTGGAGCCCCGAGAGCCGGGAGGCTCTAAACAATGTGACTTCACTAGCGCTTCACCTCGTGAGATGCGACGTCGAAGCCCATTCGGATCCCAGAGATCGGTGCGGTCGGTTTAACACGTGCATCACGTCTCCGAGGGTTCGGATTTATCTCAGTTCGCAACCACTTACCATCAGGTGGGCCGTATGCTTGTTTGTCACCTCTGTGATATAAAAAAACAAGTAAATTTTGCTCCACAAAATTCAGCGGCTTCAACCGTAGTAAATTAAACATAATCACAACCATAAACCCATCTATTAAATCAATTATAACTACATTTCTGTTGGACAATCTAAAAGTACATACTTTTTTTCAAATGGATTTTTTTTACACCACTGAGGTGGCAAACAAGCAAACAGCCCACCTGATGATATATGGTTACCGTAGCCCATGAACACCTTCAATACCAGAGGTAGTGTACCCCAGTAACACAAAATGGTCACAACTCTGTTTATTGCTTTGCCCTTAAAAGAGCAAAACACTGATATTCACTTGTGGCCAAAAGCCAAAACTCACTCTAGTTCATAAATAGCGACGCAATGGTAGAAATCAAAATCTCTTTCCAAATAAAATGAACATCAATTTAAAACATTATTACCTGTAAATTAATAGTCCATTATAAAGGAATAGGATATAATATGTAAGTTTAGTAAATAATAATTAATTGTGTGATTACGCAAATGTGAAAACGATTCATGGCTTAACATAGATATAAATTTGATTATGACTATTATTATTATTTGACTGTAATTCAGCTGTACGTTTTCCAAAAAATAAATAAATAAATAAATATTACTCAAATAAATAAATTTAAATTTAATGTATTGTATATATGTATAATGTAAATAAATCTTATTTAAAACACAATTTGTATAATATAAAAGAATTTCTTGATAAAATTTTTTGACATACAGTATATAAAACGAAACCTTTTAATATATAGTTACCACGATTAATATATACCTAATAAGAACAACTGAATTTGCATGCTATATGATTTAAGCAAGACATGTGCACTGTTAAACATAATTAAAACATTATTGTTTGGGGGGAAATGGGATTGTTAGTAATGTAAATTGAGAATCCCATTGCTAGCGATATACCCAACCAGGTCGACCTCCACGCGGTCCCCTCTAGAAACTATCGTGATTAATTCCTGATGAATTCATCGTGACTGGCTAACTGGCCTGTTTTCATTCTCATCTATCACCTTTCACTGGTGCTCCGCCAGCGTATACCGTTAGCGCAGGTAGGGTTGCCATTCCATTTTCATCATAAAAAAAAAACATTGTATGTTTAACCATGTTTTACGCAAATAAATATTAACTATTACTAAAAAAAAAAATGGAGACAAATTGTGAACATCTTTCTTATAAACATCAAGTGTTGTAGCCACCGGCCAACTATCGAATCGATTCGATACGGTAACCGAACACAATTCGATTAAGCGAAGGGTTGTTGGGGGCGATATAAAAAGAATAAATACGGATTTATTATCCCCTAAAGAGCCCGCTTAGTGCGAGGTGTGAACGCGTGCTGTATTATTTATAACACTACCCTCATATTTGCGGACATCAAATTTGATTTGGCCGGGAGTCAAAACAAGCGAACAGCAAGGGTTACCCGTAAGATGTTTTCGTGGAATTTATACAAGTCTTAGTACTCGTATATACAAAGTGGTTTGCAACAAATAAGAGATATACTATGGCTGTGTTTCGGTTTGAAAGGTAGAATATGGCAGTGAGTTTACAGGGTATAGAGGAATAAGATGTATAAGATCTAGAAAACTAAGAGAGAGGAGTCCTCAGGAATGGCAACACATGGAAGGTATCATGGGCGAAACAGTATACTCTGTTATGTCCATGGTACTGCTCATGTCTATAGGCGACGGTTACCACTTTCTATCAGGTGAACCGTCAGCTTGTTTGCTATTCTAAGTTACATAAAAAAAAATACAATGCGAATATAGATAGATATAGGTACCGGGGGAGACCAAAACTAACCTATTATGATAAGATAGAACGTGTTTTATCTGAAGGAGGAATCAAGAGTCTCCGGATCCGAAGTGTCTAACAAAAGCCGGACAAGACATACGCAGACAAATTTGGTCAGATAAGAGGTCAGAAAGTCTAATACTATTCGATTTTATCTGAACAAATGGTGACGCTAATTTGAAATCATATCTTCATGACATTTCATCTCCGAACTGTCATCTAACACATGTATCTTGATGAGAGGAGGGAGAGGGGGGAAGGAAATGTTAGTAATGGAGTGTAACTGCCCCTTATTAGCAATGCACCTTATCAAGTCGACGAAATCGCGGTTCCTTTGGAAACTATCTAAATTAATATTTTTTTTAAATCATCACGATGCACCATCTGACCTGCTCTCATCCTCACCTATCATCTATCACTGGTGCCCTGCCGGTGTATGCCAATACCGCAAGCGGGGTCACTATTTCATTTTCACCCATTAAAAAAGTTACATATGTTTATAAATACACAAAGTTTCTCTTCTTTTTAGAAAAAAAACACTATGAAGAGCTGGCTTGAGGCAGCTGGTAACATGGAGGACGGCTCTCTACAGTGCATGCTGGCTGAACCTAGAGAAGCTTTATTACCCATCACAGGAAGGGAGAACCTAGCTCCCAGGAAGAGGTATATTATATTCTATTAATAACTCTATATCTTTTTAGGAAACTAAACAAAAGTCACCTGCATAAGTACCTCTACGCCGTGTGGTCCCAGCATAGAAAGGGCCACCCCATCCTTTTCTGTGGGTGTCGTAAGAGGAGACTAAAGGAACTTAATAATAGAGGGATAGGCAGCAATATCCCTATTTCAACACCACCGACGCCTAACTGAGGTTGCCAACCCGCCTACCAAGCGCAACAACTGGCAAACTCCCTTATAGGGAAGACGCATGTTCAGCAGTGGACATGACTGATATGATATAGTATAGTATGGGTACCTCTATACCACCCATGTTTCTGGCGTTAAATAGCTGCATTTATATGGCTGTATTTCGGTTTAAATGGTGGGATATTGCAATGAAACTACAAGGTTCGGAGGCATAATATCATAGTCTTCAAGAATAGTAACACAGGAAAGGTACTACCGCTACTGCTACTAGAGTAGTACTATATTATCTGTGCCAGAATATTCCATGATATCCATAGTGTTTATAGGCGATGGTTACCTCTTTCCATCAAGTGAGGGAAGGTCAGTTGGTCCTCAAAAGACAATGAGTTTAATCGTGCGGGTTGACAACCGCAGTTAGGTTTTAAAAGATGTTTTAATTTTGGTTTCAAGTTGGATTTGCCAGTATTTGCCACGCTTGGCAGGCGGGTTGGAAATCGCAGTTAGGTATTGGTAATGTTTTAAGAAGGACACTGCTGCCTATCCGTCTACTATTAAGTTCCTTTAGTCACCTCTTACGAGACCCACAGGAAGGGAGTGGAAATATTATAAGATTATTATATACTTACATTACAGTACAATCATTTCGTTTTTGACAGAGAAAGAACACTCGAAGCCTGCGCTCTGTCTGAGGAAGCTTACTTATCCAGCGGCGCGGGCTCGCCATGCGCAGGGCTGTCTCGCGAGGAACGCAGAAGAAGACGCAGAGCTACCCTCAAATACCGGACAGCTCACGCTACGAGAGAAAGAATAAGAGTTGAAGCATTCAACGCGGCTTTTGCAGCCCTCAGAAGGTTGCTACCAACTTTACCGCCAGATAAAAAATTGTCCAAAATAGAGATTCTGCGGCTGGCTATTTGCTATATTGCGTACTTGAATCACGTTCTGGATGCGTGATCAGACTATATGAAAGTTAAAGTTTACACAGTATAAGGAACGAAAACAACAAGTGGTCTAACAATTTTGGCATGACCCGAACGGTTATAGAACAATTCCGGAACCATTGCTTTCCCTAGTCCGTTAGACGACTGGCAGTGAGTTCTTTAGACTGTGTATTTGATTGTTGACTATTGTTACTTATGTGGAAGTCGTGATTTTTCTTCCATTTTTATTTGTTTTATTACACAACTGCCCAAAAAAGGACAGTGTTTTTATAGTTCATATATATGAGATTCTTTATTTCATCAAAACCTCAGAAGATTTGGATGTATATCTGTTTTTTTTTTAATATTTTGTTTTTAGCAATCACTTTTTTTTTTATTTGCGGAGCAAAATGTTGTTTTCACTGAACAGAAAACGATGGCATATACCTGAAAATAAAACCCAATTGAACTCTTAATAATTTCGAGGCGAGACTTTGTGTAATTTTTAAGTGGTATTAATATACCAACCTAACTATATAAGTACGCAGGGAAAGGGACTGTTAGCAATAGAGTTTGACAGCCCCATTGCTAGCCCTATCAGGTCGACCTTCACGTGATTCCCCCTGGAAACCATCGTGAACAATTCTTGTTGAATTCGTCACGATAGTCTAACTGACCTGCTTCATCCTCACCTTTCATCCTTCACTGGTGCCTCGCCGGTGTATACCGATAGCGCGGGTGGGGTTACCATATCATTATCATCCATTAAAAAAAAAACTATATAAGTACTTAGTACAATACAAGGTATTTTTCAATCTCTGTTTATTATTATTAAAAGTCATAAATTGTGCTCAGAGGAATTGTTCAGTATGATGCCCACAGCCACTTTCTACCATCGTACGGCTCGCCATCGACAGGGAGTTCATCCTCATGTCCTATAGCCTCAATGGTCGCGTACTGCGCGGTTTCAGAGATGTTTCCTCCCACGAACACTCAAGTTGTGGAATGAGCTCCCTGCCGAGATTTTCCCAAGAGACTACAGCATGGGGTTCTTCAAAAAGGGGGTAAAGAGGTTTCTTCAGGGTCGGCAACGCACGCGTAATAGCTCTGGTATTGCAGGTGTTCATAGGCTACGGTAACCACTTACCATCAGGTGGGCCGTATGCTTGTTTGCCACCTCAGTGGTATAAAAAAAAATACTTTTTTTTTATATCACAATCTTTGTTGACTATTCTTTATTAATTTTATAAATTAAATATGATTAAATGCAGTATTAAGAAAACTGTAAGTCGTTTACAATAAGTATGTATGGTATTAAAATTTTATACACCTACAAGCAATTTAAAACAATTTAAAAATAAAAATAAAAGAATTATTTAGTTGTTTTTTTTTTTATTGTAGCACGACATGTGACCTCGCCATTCCAAACGGACACAAAAATATGGTCCACGAATGTGATCAACCAAAAAGAGATCGTTCCACTCTCAACGGTTGGCCGCACTATGCGGACTCACTAAGTGCTTATTCACGATCACCACCGTACAACCCGCTACAAATGGGGGGAAAGGGATTGTTAGTAATGAAGACTGAGAATCCCATTGCTAGCAATATACCCAACCAGGTCGACCTCCTCGCGGTTCCCCCTGGAAACTATCATGGTCAATTCCTGATGAATTCATCATGATGGGCTGTTTTCATTCTCATCGATTACCCTTCACTGGTGCTCCGCCAGCGTATCCCGTTAGCGCAGGTGGGGTTACCATTCCATTACCACCTATAAAAAAAAAAACCGCTACAAACTAAAGTTCTATACCAACAACGATGAGTAAGGATCTTCTACGGTATATTTTTCAATGCAATTTCTTCCACGCACAACCACGCTTTGGGATCAACTTCCAGCAGCAGTATTTCTGAGTCGATACGACAGCGATACCTCTGTCCCATTCGTGTTTCTACCGTGAAGCAGTTGTGTTTGCATGGCTGTGTTTCGGTTTGAAGGATGGAATACGGCGTAAATTTACAGGGTACAGAGGAATAACATCTGAGTCCTCAGGACTGGCAACGCATGGGCGAATCATGGGCGAAACAGTATACTCTGTTATGTCCATGGTACTGCTCATGTCTATAGGCAACGGTTACCACTTTCCATCAGGTGGGCCGTCAGCTTGTTTGCCATTCTAAGTTGTATAAAAAAAAGCGTATCCTTCAAGAAAAGAGCATATTCCTTTTTAAAAAGACGGCGGCACACCTGCAATGTTGTGTTGTTGTTGTTGCGGGTTGGTGTTGCGTTGGTGTTGCGGGTGCTCATGAGCGGCGGTAGTCACTTACCATCAGGTGAGCCGCATGCTCGTTTGCCTCCTATGATAAGAAAAAATAACGTTCGAAAGAAAAATAGGATAAAAAGGACGTTGATGTTCCGCCAAAAAAAGCAATTCTATCGTGACAAAATTAATGATGGGGTCAACAAAAGATAAATTGGCTAAACTCTATTAAATTTATATAGCGTCCCCCATAAAAAGGGTTTTGCCAGTAGTTGCTACACTTAGCAGGTGGGTTAGCAACAGCAGTTTGACTAATGGTAATGTTTTAAAAAGGGACGCTGCCGCCCATCCCTCCACCATAAGCTCCCTTAGTCGCCTTATACGACACTTACGGGAAAAGAAGGGTTAGCTTATCCTATGCTGGGAACTACACGGCATCCAGATATGTGCATGGTGCTATTCATGTCTGTAGTTGACGGCTATCACTTTCTATCAGCCGTCAGTTTGTTTGTATAAGTATCATAAAAAAATGTAAATAACACCTGTCTATCGCAAGTTAATTTTCAATGATAAGGGCCTTATTTGTTTAAATATTGCTTCACACATGTCTTTAATATCATTAACTTAATCCACGATAGATAGGTGACGTTGATTGGATTTATATTCCGTTAATTCCATATAATATATTAGTTAATTTATGAGACTGTTTATGTTTCATTGTTATGTTCTGAAGGGAAAGGATTGTTACTAAATGTAAACTAGCGGCATCGTTGCTCGCAATCGTGAATTTAGTAGTTTTTTCTACTGTTAGGGATGCAAAGAAGCAGACGGTCCACCTAATGCAGCCTTTCCCAAAGTGGGCGATAACGCCCCCTTCTGGACACTACAGGCCTAAAGGGGGGCGGTAAGAGAAATAGAAAAAAAATGGGGGCGTTGTGTAGAGGCTCGTTTGGAATTAATGTTTAATCTCCGCTAATATAGCTCACAATAATTTAAAGTAATTAAATTTGAAGTAATAGTAGTTTTTAAGTAATAAATGGGGGCCATAAAAAATAATTTCTTCTCAAAGTGGGCAGTAGACAAAATTAGTTTGGGAAACCCTGACCTCATGGAAAGCGGCTACCGTCACCCATGAATACTTGCAATACGAGAGGAGTTGCTTGTGCGTTACCGGCCTTTTAATTATGATTGTCCACGTCCTCTAATGAAACCGCCTTGAAACCATCCTGGTTTATTGATGAATTTAACGCATTGAGCCAACTGGTTTTACTTCATTTTCACCTAAGCCTTGTACCGCGCCAGTGTTAAACAATAGAGATTATAGGATGGAGTTACTATCGAATATTTACCCATTAAAACGCATATATCTTCGATTCCTCCCTCTTAACTTAAATCTGTGATTTTATTACGTACATTAAATACAGCAACTTTTTCTTATAAGAATGTTTTCCATTCCTTAGTTTCTTATTTTTTTTTCTTTTTAGGATTTTATACCTTATAAAGTAACTTACTTTGTAGTCAGTGTTTGGCCATCTGCCAAAACCTTTTTTTCTCAGGAACGCGTGGTAATGGCGTAAGCATATAATTATTAATGGCATAAAAATTAGTATAAGTTACATTAATACTTAATTAATACTCAAGTCTTAAGAAGCAGTGTAGGATAACCTCCCACTAGATGGAGTGACGATTTTAAATACATATAGGAAATTGCCATCATAACTATGAATGTCCAAAAATTATTTAAAAGAATAAGTTCACTTTAAGTTTATCGTATCTGGATACCTTTTTAATGTCCATTGCAGAAAAAAAAAACATAGCTGTCAAATTTATTTTTTTAACCATTTTTCCTTTAATTTTGAACATGAATTGTATCACCTTGATTTATTTCACCAATAAAAAAATCATGCGAAAAAGGGTTAAAGCTGTGAAAAAATCAAACCTAGAATCAGCCGTGAAATTTGACAAGAAATAAGGGCGTGTGGTCCCGGCATAGAATAGGCCACCCCTTCCTTTCCCGTGGGTGTCGTAAGAGGCGACTAAGGGAGGGCAAGTGATAGGCAGCAGCGTCCCTCTTAAAACGTCTCTAAGGCCTAACTGCAGTTACCAATCCGCCTGCCAAGCGTAACAACTACTGGTAAAAACCCCCAAGGGGGGTGTGGGGGGAAAGGGATTGTTAATAATGGAGACTGAGAATCCCATTGCTAGCAACATACCCAACCAGGTCAACCTCCTCGCGGTTCTCCCTAGAAACTATCATGCTTAATTCCTGAATTCATCATGATAGGCTAACTGGCCTGTTTTCATTCTCATCTATCACCCTTCACTGGTGCTCCGCCAGCGTATCCCGTTAGCGCAGGCGGGGTTACCATACTATTTTCACCCATCAAAAAAAACCCCCCAAGGGGAGGCTTATGTTCAGCAGTGGACAGTTGAAAGCTGATATGATGATAATAAAATTGTAAATATATATCTATATTACAAGCAATATATAATAATATATATATAATATAATAATAGTGGATAATTATATCTTATTAAATTATATTAATCAATAATTACTGACGAAAATCAAGAAACAAATTATTTATAACGTTGATCCCATGGTTACCCAAGCAGCTGTGTTTTTTTAATGGGTGGTAATAGAATGGTAACCCCGCCTGCGCTATCGGTATACACCGGCGGGACACCAGTAAGGGATGATAGGTGAGGATGAAAAGTCAGGACAGTTAGCCCGCCGTGACGAATCTAACAATAAATCAATCACGATGGTTTCCAGAGGGAACCACGAGGGGGTCGACCTGACAGAGTATATTGTTAACTATGGGGTTACTAATCCCCATTACTAACAATCTCTTCTCCCCCCTTTTTTGTACTACTGAGGTGGCAAACTAACATACAGCCCACCCGATGGTAAGCGGTTACCGTAGCCTATGAACACACGCAATACCCACACGTTGCCACCCTTGAAGAAATCTCATTACCCCTTCTTTAAAGAAGTTCATGCTGTAATCTCTTGGAAAAACCTCAATGTAGCTCATTCCATAATCTGAGCTGTTGTGGGTAGAAACATCTCTGAAACCGTGTTGTGCACGATCGTCGCGACTCTAAGGCGGTGTTTCCCAACGTTGGGCCCACGCCTCACAGGGGGGGCAATTTGATAGTTAACGGAGGACAATTAAAAAATGGACTCGAAGCGATTTTAACTCTCTTACTCCGGACCATTTAAAAGCAATGCTACGAGTACATATCGGTGCCAAATTTAACAAAAAAAAAGTAAATAAAAAAAATGCTGTAAATATTTATTAGGTATAATTTCGTTTGACGTTACCAAAATATCAACTGAGCGATAAGAGTCGTTAAATAAACTTTGCCGGGAAAAATTATGTACAGAGGCATAAAAAATTTTGAAATGTTCAAGTGGGGCAAGGCACAAAAAAAGGTTAGGAAACACTGCTCTAAGGTATGGATGGAGGTTAACTCCCTGTCGATGACGAATTATTTATAATAATACAGATAATACAAGTAAATAACAGAAAAACAATATTATTAAATATTGTTTTTCTGTTATTCAGAATGGCCAACAATCTAATGGCCCACCTGATGGAAAATGATAACGGTCGCTTATAGAAATGGCAACAGTACCATGGACAACACTGAATACAGCGTGATCTCCTCACACGACATACAGGGGGGAAAAGGAATGTTAGCAATAGAGTTTGACAGCCAACAATATGCCCTATTAGGTCGAACTCCATTTGGTTCCCCCTGGAAACCATCGTAAAACAATTCTTATTGAATTCGTCACGATGGGCTAACTGACCTGCTTCATCCTCACCTATCATACTTCACTGGTACTCCGCCGGTGTATACCGATAACACTGGTGAGATTACCATTCCATTATCACCCATTAAAAAAAAACACGACATATACAAAGTCTTATCTCTGCATTGTGTATAATCAGTAAGCTGTGTTCCATAAAAAAATAACCGTTATTTTAATTTAAAAACCTATTGGACCAATTTTGGTAAAATTTCTATAATCTGTAAGTATATCCTTTCAGATAAAAAAATATTTTTCCCAATCGGTTTACAAATGAGTTAATAAACATATAAAAATATAATTCCAACGAACTGACGTCCTCTTTCTTTGTAAAGTTAATTAAAAATATCAAGATAACAAAGCACGGGGAGAGACTTTGTACAAAAGTCGATTGCTTGGGTACCTCTGTCCCATTCATGTTTCAACCGTGAAGCAGTTGTGTTTGCATGGCTGTGTTTCGGTTTGAAGGGTGGGATATGGCGTGAATTTACTGGGTACAAAGGAATAACACCTAAGTCCTCAGGAATGGCAACGCATAGGGGGGTATCATGGGCGAAACAGTATACTCTATTATATCCATGGTACTGCTCATGTCTATAGGCGACGGTGACCACTTTCCATCAGGTGAGCCGTCAGCTTGTTTTCCATTCTAAGTTGTATAAAAAAAAAACGTAAGCGTAACAAAAATTTTACAATTAGTGTAGGGATATAGTGGAATAAGAGAAAACATGAAGGCACAAATAAATAACAGAAAGGCATAATAAAAGACATAACTCTTACATTGGCAAAATTTAATTAAATAATAGAAATATAATTCTCAATATATGTATATCACTTATTTATATTTACAATTAACACATCAGTAATAAGTCTTATATTTATATCTATACACAAGTACATATTATTCTAAAAAGTTTAAAATAGCATTAAAAAAATATTTAATTACAAAATTCAAAATTCAAAAAAAATTCAAAAATCATTTATTCATGTAGGACATTTTAGCCGCTTATGAACGTCAAATTTTTACATTATAATTTTATATTTTCCCTACCGTCCAGTTCGTACAAAAAGTTATTATACACTACAGGAATTTTACAATGAGAAAATTTAATTGTATTTGTACCTATTTGTTTCAATGTAATAATGTTTTATTTATGTTAATCGACGATACATAAAATATAATGTAAAAATGTAGTTATGTACTTTATGAAATATTTATTAATGTGATTGCTGCGCCCTTCCAGGGTTCATGTTGATTCTTTACTTTTAATAACTTAAGACCTATATTGTTACAACATGAAATAGCAATAAATGATTGAATTGAATTGAATTGAATTATTATCGAAGGAAAACAATCTACGTCTATTTATTACTATAGTTCAGAAATAACATAAAACAAAGTCACGTCTATATGTGTCTTCTCTAAAATTAGATATTACAATTATACTAAAACATAGGCCGTGTGGTCCGGCATAGAATGGGCCACCCCTTCGTTTCCCGGGAAGTCGTAACAGGCGACTAAAGGAACTTAATGATCGAGGAATGGGCAGAAGCGTCCTTCTTAAAACATCACCAAAAGCATAACGAGCCTACCAAAGGTGGCACTACTAGCAAAATCCTCCTTATGAAGGAGGCTTATATCCAGCAGTGAACAGTAAATAGCTGATATGGTGATGATGATAATAAACTATATATTCATTTAAACTTCAGTCAGATTTGCGTCTAATTTAAACCAGTACAATTTGCCGTGGTCACTTTTAATACAATATAGCTACTAATCTTTCTTCATCTTGACATATATGAGAAATGTAGATGTTAAAATAAATATTATAATGAGTTTATTATAATAACTGATTATATTTTGTAACTACGCTTCTATACTGCTTAAATGTTTTATGATAAAAATTAATAACTGTTGACTAACAAATGAGTCAAAATTATTTTCACAGTAAATAACATTCATCCAGATTACAATGAATTAAAAATATTCATCAAAGTATTCTTTATAGAGTACTACTTCACAAATTACTACAATCGATTTCCCTAGTTACAAGTTCAGTTGCAGTTGTCGAAACTTTATTTTTACTGCTTTGTCCCAAATTATTTGCATAGCTCAATAAAACAGGGAAAAATATCATGCCATGTATGAAACCTATAATCACTAAACTGAAGAACATTCTAAAGAAAAATATTTCAATTATTTCAGTGTACGAAAAAGCTAATACAATGACCGGAATGTTGGTGAATGTTATACCAGTAATGATGGTGGAGCCAACTTTTTTGATTGCATCCTCAACTCGGTCACTACGGGGAGCATTGCTTGTTGCAAACGCATGTCCAATGTGACTACAAAATTCCACGCCGATAGCTATAGATACTATGAGATTAATAAGCGAAACAGGATTCAAGTTAATGTTCCAAATATACATGAGGCCCATCATGTTTAAAACAATCAATAGAGTCGTGAATATTACACAAAAAGTTGTTAAAAAATTGAATCCTGACGCAAACAAATTGAAGACGAAAGCGCCAAGAATACAAAATCCTAGAGACATAAATGTATCCCGCCACATTGTTAGATATTGCTCGTAATACACGTAAAAGACAGAATATGGAAATACTTCTATATCTAATCCAGTATGATTTTTTATAGCTCTTGTTATATTTTCACTAAGCTCGTAACCGTAGTACACAGCTGATATATAGTCTTGAGACGTTGCTAGAGTAGTATGGTAAGCCATAAAATTACTGTCGAGGACAGTAGCATGCCCGTTTGAGTCTAAGACATAAATTACGTTATTAAAATAACTTGCTAAACCGCCTTTATTGCAAATTTCATTTGGGGGATCTTGAAGAAAAAATGGTATATACTCATCAAAGGCTTCTACTCCGGGTCTTAAATTATTAGCCCATTCGTCTCTTTTGATTTGACAATACTGACATTCAGGCGATGTATCTGTACTAGGACAAAAAGAGCCATCCGTTGCATTAAATTTACAACAAGCTCCAGTCAAACCGGTCCAATCAAAAAAGTCATCGATCCAGGAATTAGAACTTCTGGCCATGTATGTGATGTCAGAATGTTGAACTGATAAAAATATTTGCGTAGCTAGAGAATCATCATAACATAATTGACCACCGCAAATAACATTCTGATGCTCAATATTACTATAATTCAAACCGCTTTTAACAACGAAAAATACTGGGGGCCCAATTTTCATCAGTTGATTCACAGCTTGTAGATATTTATATACGTAAGAGTCGCGAGGTAATGCTAACTCTTGATCTAAACCAACTTCTAAACCGGGAATCATAAGTATACTACAAAATAACATAATCATAAATAGAACTACAACAACAAACTTCACTCGCCAATGGAGAAGTATTTTAGCATAAGGTTCCATTAATCTTTTAGTGATACTTTCATAAGGAGCATCAGAAAGTAGCGGATAATCATCGTTTAAAATCTTTTTTTGAATACAACAAAAAATATCAAATCGGTTTTTACTTTCTCGTTTATAATTTATTGACAAAATAGCTATAATAGTGGTTATTTGAAATACAAACAGAAAAGCCATTGAAAAAGTGGCAAATATTGCAAATGATTTTACAGCAGGGAAATTTGTTAAAGTACCGATAGCAAAACAAGTTATTTGAGTAACAGACGTAACAAATATTGAAGGACCGACGATAGCCATCATTTTCTTAAATACAAATCTCCTTTTGCTTTCAAAACTAAAATTCTCGTCATAATCACTATAACTTTTCAAGTTGTTTTCTATATCATGAATTGTGTTAACCATTAAAAAAACATTATCAATACCTACAGACAATACAAAAAATGGAATTACATTAATAGCGAGTAATGTCACAGTAACTTCTGTGTACCCCATGACACCCATACCACAGAAAACAGCTGCTACAACTACCAATATACTACTAATAGCTACTGATATCTTACTATCAATCAACCACGTTTTACAGTTTCTAACATTTCCTAATGCAACCGCTACATAAACAAACATAAGTATGTAACTTATCGCTATTGGTATTGCTTCTGCTACAGACACGCGTTCGATTTCATCTTCTATAGATCTTTCAGTACCATATGCAAGATCTATAAAGTCTGGTTTGTCAGTAACTTCGTAGTGTTGTAAAAATTCTATCAATTTCAATTCCCATTCTAAAACCGGTGCAAGGTTTTCCTCTAAGAGATGATTGGTTAGAGGAAAGTTTATTAATAGTGTATTAGCATCATAAACGTTATCATCATAGCCTCCAAATGTAATTTCAGGTTCAGCACCGCCTCCCCAGTCTGCCAAACAGTCGAAGGAATAGTAATTGTTTAAACAATTTTGTATTGAATCTAGGTATGTCTCGTTGTTAACATCTTCACCCACATAGGTTAATACAGACATGGAAACGCATTCCTCGATTCGCTGTTCACTACCACGAGTTCTTAGAGGAGCGTAACATACCTGTTCCAAAGTAACACCACCCGTATCTCTTCCTATATTTCGAATACGGTTTTCAAGGGTTACCAATTCTTGTACAGCTTCGAATCTAAAAGCTGGCCCGTACGTATTATTATTAACTTCAAATGGTTCTTTATTGATTGTTAAAAAAACTTGAGCAGCTCGGTAGAAGGGACCAAATCGAGAGTTAAAATAATTCAGTTCTTGACGACTCCGAGAGTCAGGAGCAGACCAGAGTTCTAAAGGATTTGATGAAATTTTAAGATTCATAACTCCAAAAACCATCCCAAATACAATCCAAGTAGTCAGCATAATTACCAATATATGGTGTGTAGACGCCATTGAACCAATACTTGAAAACACTGATTCAAATAGTCTAATCAGAATGTTAGGTTGCATTGTTTTTTCATTTTCTTTAGACTCAATCACTCTAATTTCTGAACGAGAGACAGTTAAAAATGCAAATATTGTTATAGTAATCACTAAGAATGATAAACCGACTGAAAAAGCTATACAATTCACAGAAAGAACGGTACACGTTTCAGGAATAAATGGTTCGGTTCCAGTGGGGCACTGGTCCATGCAGTCGACACAACTACATGGGATGTCTCCAGGATAAGACTCATTACAACGTAACAAAGGAGCATTCATCGAATTATGTTCAGTTGTAGTATTCAAAAAATTTACATGCATAGGTACCAAAGGGTTCGATAATGTGTCACCAGTGAAACTAAACCAGGCCTGAGCATCACAAACAGGAGCATTTCCACACATCATGTTAATAGCTGGTAATCCTGTTTGAGGGACCAGTACACCGGAACATGTAGTATATGCGCCAAGCATAAAATCCGTGTGCATTCTGAAATCAACTTCTTCTATGTAAGGCGTGTTATTGGTTCCGTATTCCACGCGTACTATTTCAACGAAACGGTCTTGTTCTGGTGAACAGTTCATTTCACATATTTGCCTGGCGAAATTCCTGACACAAGATGGACACCGGCCGAGTACACCATCGGCCAACAAGAGACTGTTTGCCATTTTATCTAATTGTATCTCATCACAGCAAGTCAGCACTTCTTTATATGGTTTCTCGTTGCCTTCATCGTCGAGTAGTAAATGTGGACATCTTAAACGCAGTATGGAAAGAATTTCTTCTCTTGTTTCTTCATCTAATTGTAGAAGTAACGGTGATGCTTCTTCGTCCACAGGACAAAGTTTAGCCAAGCCACCGACTTCGTAACATTCCCCTCGCATCACACATTTTGTTTTCACTCCATTCCACAGGCACAGGAATAGAAATATATGCAATATAATAGCAAATTTCATCTTTTCGTCAATATGTACGACAGTAGAATACTATAAATTCATCGTTCTACAACTGTCCGGTACTAACGCTGAATTTGTTAGTAATGACTAAATATAAAAATAACAAAGCAATTACAACATTGTAGATAAATATTATCACAGAATTAACACCTGCACGATACGCTATTAGATTATCAATATATAGATTACAGTTGGAATTTCGTCATTTGACAGATAGTTTCTCTATCGCAGTAAGACGCAGGTGTGCGTTTCCTACGTCGCTTTCGGTCGCTCCCTCGGGGGACTTCCTTGCAAAACCACCTCCCCTTCTGTTCCGATACATTCATACATTTATTATGAGACAATAATGTTTGAAAATACATCTTGTTTTAGTAGCATTATTTAAGATTGTATTTTCCAAAAAAACGGACCTCGATTTAAGACAAAATTTATGTGGGACCTATTAGAATTAAATATGGGAGTAGTTGATTGACTTCATTACTTTATCGTTTCTTAAAATATATATGATAAATTACTTATTTGGGACTTTAGGTTTTTTTTAATGGTTGTGATGGAATGTTAACTCAGCATGCACTATCGGTTTACGCTGACGGGGCACCAGTGAGGGATCATAGGTGAAAATGAAAAGGCAGATCACTTAGCCCATCTTGACGAATTCACTTGGAATTGAATACGATAGTTTCCAGGGAGAATCGCGAGTAGGTCGACAGGTGAGGATGAAGGCAGGGCAGTTGGCCCGTAGTGACCAATTCAACAAGAATTACACACTATGGTTTCCAGGGGGAACCGCATGGAGGTCGACCTGTTAGGGTGTATTGTTAGTAATGGAGTTGTGAAATCTCATTACTAGCAATCCTTTTCCCCTAGTCCTTAAGTTTTTTTTTTTAACGGTTGAAAATGGAATGGTAACCCCACCTGTGCTAACGGTATACACTGATAGGTGAGAATGAAAAGACAGATCAGTAAGCCCATCGTGACACCTGGAAATTAGCCCGACCTTCTGTCCTTTGTGTCCTTCACTTAAAACACAAGAGATATATATATATATATATATATATATATATATATATATATATATATATATATATATATATATATATATATATATATATATATATATATATATATATATATATATATATATATATATTAATCTTTATGTGACTACTCACAAGGAATATTGTACAGTGTAATTTAGGTTTGAACTTAAAAGAATTATCCTTTCTTTCTTTCTTTATTCTTTATTGTACACAAAAGGTTATTAAAATGTAAAAACAAACATAATAGTGCACAAGGGCGAGCTTATCTCCAATAGAGACTTCTTCCAGCGAACCCAATATGAGAAAACTGACAGTTCATTAGTAGTTACAGTCACACATGTGTACCGATCGACTTAAATGTTATAGTAAAAATAAATAAATATAATGTCTTATCCTTTATCCTTGTGAGAGTTTGAAGTCTGAACTAGGTCGAAACCTGTACTACAGATCTCCAGGCTCTCTCCGGAGTTTTACAATATATTATTGAACATCTACATTATTATATCAATACAAGTATTGTTAATAGAAATATTAAATAACGACATAAATATTCAATCGGTATGGACGATATCGAAATGAGTGTCCTTTTTCCCGCCATCAACGTCCAGAGGAAGCCAATATTTTTTTTTTTTTTTTACAACACAGGGGGCAAACGAGCATGCGGCTCACCTGATGGTAAGTGACTACCGCCGCCCATAATCACCCACAACACCTACAGCATTGCAATATATATATAGATATTAGGGGGGAAAGGGATTGTTAGTAACGGTGTCTAATAGTCCCATTACTAGCAATATACTCTCTCAGGTTGACCTCCACGCGGTTTCCCCTGGAAACCATCATGTTTAATTCTTATAGAATTTATTATGGTGGGCCAACTGACCTGCATTCATTCTCACCTATCAACATCCACTGGTGCCTCGTCGGTGTATACCGATAGCGCGGGCGGGGTTACCAATCCATTTTCAGCCATTAAATATATATATATATATATATATATATATATATATATATATATATATTGTAACGGTACCGATATCACCCACGCCAAGTTGTAAATTGATGAAGTAATTAAATCTGGATCTAGCCGAGGGTGTAATAGAGTTGTAAACGGATTCGTCGGTGTAATAAGATCGACACGTGTTCCTGGTCACGATGCGAGGGAACATTACTTTGTACTTAATAAAGAAAAAAAAATAACTTGTAAATTACATACACACGAAAGACACAGTACTAATATGTAAAACCAAAAACAAATTATGTCCATATAATAAAATTATAAAGATAAAAATGTCCATATAATAAAATTATAATTATATTCATACATAAGAGATATTAAAAAAAAAAAACTTATAAGTCTTATAAGAGCAGAAACAATAATTTTCAAAAATTTCGTCTGTAGATCTTTTCTTTTTTTATAAGTGAAAATGGTATGGTAACCCCGCCTGCGCTAACGAGATACGCTGGCGGAGCACCAGTGAAGGGTGATAGATGAGAATGAAAACAGGCCAGTTAGCCCGTCATGATGAATTCATCAGGAATTAACCATGATAGTTTCAAGGGGGAACCGCGAGGAGGTCGACCTGGTTGGGTATATTACTAGCAATGGGATCCTCAGTCTCCATTACTAACAATCCCTTTCCCCCCCCCGTCTGTTGATCTGTATGTACGTATGTTTATTTCGGCGTCACATAAAAAGTACTGTACCTAAATGAATACGATTTTCACAGCTGCTCCTGAAGGTTTAACTTAAAATATAGTATATGTTGTTGTAGTTTTTTTTTTAGTTTTTTTTTTTTTAATCATTTACGTTATCTCGCTTTTTATGTATATCAATATATGTTGTAATTTGTGTGCTGTAAATAATGCAAATAAATTATCTATCTATCTATCTATTTATTTATTTATTTTTAACAGTACACATAATAACAATACACATTTTTGTTGTAAACTTAACTTTTATTTAAAAAAAAAAATAACAATTGTGTTTCTTTTCTTTTCTTCTCAATTGAAAATGCATTCCGAACTTGGCGGTAGATTAATAAAATAAATATACAATTCAAGATAGAATGAATGAATGAATGAGTATACTTTATTTGCATTATACAATATAGGAAATAAGCAAGGCAACTTACAAACACAACGATACAATTGTATAAGTACAGTAAGGCGGTCTTATTGCTGAGAGCAATCTTTTCAAGACAACCTTAAGTTATTAAGTAATGCTTGTAATTAAGTATATTTAAATAAAAAATATCTTTTTCTATTTTATTTAATAAATACATATAATAAAATCGTAACTGGTCGCTGTGTATACATGGAAAATATGTAAGAAAAACTATTAAGGGGCGGGGCTTTATGAACGCAATAGAACCCGAAACAATGATTTTTAGAATTTTGTCTATCTGTATGTCTGTTTGTCTGTAGGTTTGTGCACGCTAATCTCAAAAAAAAACTAAACCGATCTAAATGCAGTTTTCACTAATACGTTGCGGTTTGCTCCGCTTGACTTTTAGTGTTTGTTTTATTTCAATCGGTTCATAAATAAAAAAGTTATATCAATTTAAAGTAGTCAACTTCCCACCAATGGAAAGCCGCGGCGGGTTGCTAATAAAGAATAAAAAATAATATTTTTGAATAGTCAAACACCCCCCCCCCCCCCCCCGGTTAGTATGCGGTCATACACAGTCACAAATTTCACACTAACTGTGCCTATGTATGTATATTATCCCAATATGCACTCGACGACAGGTCACGTGCCTCGCAGATCGATGGCCGCGAATTACTGTCCAGGGAAATCAGACGATTGTAATTGATATCGCAACATGGGGGCGAATGTCCCATACCGTAGATAATGAGGGGAAGCGATTTTTAATGGTGTGAACGGGATCGTCACTTCGGTAGCTAATGATGATTGTATTACTTGGAAAGTTATGGTTGTTTGGAGTTAAAAAACCAAGTACAAGTCAAGTACGAGCAAGTCGAATCAGCACATAAAAGATATATATATATATATATATATATATATATATATATATATACACCCGGCAAAAGGAACCGGCTCAGCTGATGCTGTGAGTGTCCCAGCACAATGAGCTGGTTTTAGCCAGTCCCTCTCTTAACAAAACATAACCAAAGTGCAGGGTACCACTGTAAATTGCTTCTTATAAGAATTATTTATTTTATATATATATATATATATATATATATATATATATATATATATATATATATATATATATATATATATATATATATATAAAAAACCCCAATCAAGGTCGAGCTCCACGCGGTCCCTCTTGAATACCATCGTGGTTAATTCTTGGTCAATCGTCACATGAGCCGACAGACCTGTTTTCATCCTCACCTATCATCACTCACTGATGCCCCGTCAACTTACATTGATAGCGCATTCAGGATTACCATTACATTATAACCCACTAAAAAACCGCCTATCAGGCAGCCTTAGAACCACTACTGCCATCTAACTAAATTTGAACGTACTAATAGTTACATGTTTCTGACGATAGATGTCTAGCGCCACGCGAATGTACCATAATTCATAATATTATCAAAAGATGACGCTATAACGAAAAATCATTTTGCTCATTTAATTCATTATTACGTCAATAGATGACGCTGTATGCGGTACATAGTACTATACATTAATAATTCCACTATTCTATAATAGATGCCGCTCCTATACCCAGTTCCTATAATACTTTTTTATTCAATATAAAACTACCTACCTAACATAGCTAAAATAAATAGATGCATTAGTCTGTCCAACGAAATAATAACAGCTTGGCACTATGTTCTGATACGTAGTTTCATTTCAGTTACAAGCGCACTCACACATTATAATACACTCTTGCAATTCGCGAACGTCTTGGTTCATTAAATTTACGATAACACGATATGTTCGCGTGGTGACTAGCCAGCTACCTACCTCCGCTAACATAAGCAGTATTATGATGACTCAAACGAATGAGTATAAAATATTTTTAACTCACAATTTATTTTTGACCGCGTTACGGAAATAGCAAATATTTTTAAAATAACT